CAGGACTGACTTTCTGTGGCTTCGCTGCACAGACAGAGGCCCAGGACTGACTTTCTGTGGCTTCGCTGCATAGACAGAGGCCCAGGACCGACTTTCTGTGGCTTTGCTGCATAGACAGAGGCTCAGGACTGACTTTCTGTGGCTTTGCTGCACAGTCAGAGGCTCAGGACTGACTTTCTGTGGCTTCGCTGCATAGACAGAGGCTCAGGACTGACTTTCTGTGGCTTCGCTGCATAGACAGAGGCTCAGGACTGACTTTCTGTGGCTTCACTGCATTTTTGCAGCTTTTGCTTGCCTCACTCCCTTCTTTACCATTGAGTCGATTTTCATAACAGAGAAACTGATACAAAGTCAGTCATTCAAAACCGGTTGGGTCCCCAGGCCCCTGGGGTGCAGTCCTGGCTGCCTTTCTGTACTCATTTCCTGAATGTTTCCGGACTATCCGGTCATATGTCAACAGGGCTTTATTAAACTCCTCAGATCTGCCTCAGCCCTGCTGTCCGCCTCCAGTGAATGGTGACTGGGCCTTTCAGACCTGAAGACATGATTCTGCTACTGAAGGAAATGATATCCCCTTTTCCCCCCAGGAGTCTAAAAAGCACACTGCTAGTGCGGATGGGGGCTTTTCTGGATGGAGTCTTAGAAAACAAGTTAACTCTCTCTGCACCTGTGTCTATATCTGTGTCTAAACCTGTTTCTGCATCGATGTCCATATATCCATATCCATGTAGCTCTCTGCCTACTTATTAACCTACCTAGCAGATATTTACCACATCTATCCATCCACCTACCCATCTGTCATCCCTTTATCTGTCATTTACCTTATGTATATCTGTATATCTAACAAATATTGATCATACCTATCCACCCATCTTTCCATCTATTCACCTACCCACCAAGCAGATAACTATCTAGCTAGTTATCACTATCTATTTATTATCCATCTATCCATCTGTCATCCACTTATATAAGGAAAATATAATTGTAAACTAAAGGGGCTTTGCATCTTCTAGTAAATTATTCTGCACACACACACACACGAATCATGCCACAAAGTCTCTGATGTTCACTCATTCATTCATTCCATAAATACTTACTGAGTTCCTACTGTGTGGGAGGCACTCTGCTAGGCCCATTCTTACTTTCTTTTCACAATAATTCTTGAAGGTAGAAATGTTATCATCATGGAGCAATTCTAGGGAATTGTACAGATAAAAGGGAACCAAATTTCCAGCCAGATCTGCCTAATTCTAAGGCTTGTGCTCTTCCCACCCCTCTGTGTTCTCTTTCCTGAGATGTACCATATATGCCAAAAGAAAAAAAAAAAGGCTACAGTTTAAGAAAGAAAGTGGTGAGTTTCTTAAGAGAAGAAGCAGTAAATGCTATGTGTCCAGAGATGAAGAGATTATTTCCAGTTGGGGATATCATTCAAGAGTTTATGGGCTGAGAAAGTGGCGTCTGGACAAGGTCACCTCTACCCATGCATCCCAACCAGAGGCATAGCGTAAGCAAAGGCACAGTGGTACAAAGGACTGATGTCTCCCAGGGGTGGAGGCAGGGCCCTGCAGCTAGAATAATGGTGCCGAAGGTGAGAGTGGTATTAAATGAGGCTGGAGAGATGGGCAAGAGTGAGGTCACCAGGCCTTGTCACCACTTCAGGGAGAGTGGTTGTCTTCTGAGCCAGGTGAGAGGGACATCATCAGATTTGTGTTGCAAAATGGGTTCTCTGAAGGCAAAAAAAAACAGATTAAAGGGGGTTGCTCGGAGTCAGGAGACTAGCAGGGAGACTTCTGTGCTAACAAGAAGAGGATGGGTGGTGATGATGGCAACATGTATATGGGGGGTACAATTTTTCTTTTGCCTGAAGTTCCATTATGACTCAGCATGGCATGGGTGCTGACTATGTAATAGGGAGGCTGTGAGTGATATTTAGGAAAGAAAATCAAGAGGATGTGATGTTAATGGAGCGAGCACAGGAGGGAAGCATAAACCATGCCCAAGTTTGAGCAACTGAATAGATTTCTGAGTGTCATTTCTCAAGTTAGAGAAGTGTGGTGGAAGTGTACTAGGGCAGAGGGGCATAGGAATCGAGCCCCAGGAAATATAATTATGTCCATGTAGTAAAGGGTAGTGGGTAGGAGAGGGCTCCAGAGTCAGAACGTGAGAGGGTCACTCCCTATTGTATTACTTATCTGGCCTCAGAATCACTCAGACCCTCAGTATCTTCTTCTATATACTTCTGATAACCACCTTGCAAGATTTTATAAGGATTAAGAGCCTGATATATATCAGGTGCTCAATAAATATTAGAGAAAAGTCATGCTATATTGGTGGAAATCGATGAATGTTCAGGAAGGTTTAATGTTCTAGTTGACTCAGGATAAAATATTTCCTTTCTATTTTTTTCTTTAAGTCTTTTTCTGACAGAGGAGTCTCTTCTTCACTCTAATAAATATATTACTGCTAAATTATAATTTTCAAAACTATAAAAACATGATTCATAAAGATAGCAAATGAATACATGTTAACATGTCGAAGATATCAAATAAATACATGTTAACAGGTAATTGATTTAACTCATCAATGAATAAGGAAACCAGGAAGATGGTAATGCCGGTTCAATGGAAAATTTCATAGGCAGTCAAAGGAATTTTCAAATGAATTTGCTAATTGATTTCCTATAGCAATAAACTTTTTTTTTAACTGAGCAAAAATCAATCATTCCTCTACCCCACAAAATTCATTTACATTGCTATGGACAGAAATTATCTGCATCACTCTTAGACAAGAATCATGTATATGTCCATCAGTTAACCTCTACCCCTTCAGAGTTGTAATATGATCTGTCCAATAGAAAGTCAATTAATGGGGTGCACCCTTATATGCCCAGACAATCCCCAGAAAGTCTACTGGACAATAACCAAACTATACTAAAAGGATAATCAGTAATCCTTTTTGCTTATTACTAGGTTTTAGGTCATTTTTTGAGAGTGATTAGTGCTTCTTTGGAAAATCATCAATAGTATCCTAATATAATCTTCCAGTCCCTAAAAGGTAAATTGTAGTAGGGAAAGGCCCTTTCCCTTTTTATTCATTGTTATAGCTCTAGAGTCTATTGGTGTGGGGCACATAGAGGGCGCTCAAGAAATTTTTAGTAAATAAAACAATATAATAGTTATTATTTATTGTTCACTTCTATGAATTGTCTCATTTAATCCTCCCAGTCACCCTATATAACAAGGATGGGTCTGCTTTTTTTCCATGTAAGGAAACATAGCTGTAGCCAGAGGAAGCTGTCATAGCCTCAGGAGATCCCAAGAAGATAGAACCTTAAAAAAACCTACTGTTTCCTTCTTTTATCACTTGCCTCCTTCTCCCTAAGAGCCACGAATTAAGTAACAGCGAAATTTGGTTCACTGAAGCATAATTAATCTTCAGCTTATGAAGACAGAGAACTCACAAACTCAGAACTTGGTTCCCCAATGACCCAGCAGGCTGGTTTCATCTTTCAACCACCTGTGCCTTCCTTCTCTCTCCCTTGTACATGGGCAGGCACACATGTACACGCACAGACATGCAAACATATGCACATACATGTACACACACACATATTGTGTGTACACATACCCATAGCCTCTGTACTCAAATTATTCTCCATTTTCCCTCAGCAACCCATCTCCCCTTCCACACTGTTGAGTCATCAATATACTCTGCCCCTTACACCAGAAATGCCCTCCACGTGATGTATTTCTCATCAATGTTTTAGATCTTTGTTCAATATTTGATCCTCAGAGAAATATCTCTGATGTCCTTCAGGAACTTGATCCCCACCTTCTCTCCACCTGGCTTTTTTGGGCAATGGTGAAGCACCCCTATGTGTGCCTGTCTGTCTCAGAACTACCTGAGATTACAGCAAGACTGGATTCACCTGGCACAGAGCTTAACAAAAGGGAGATGCTTGCTAAAGCCTCATGAATTTGACTGCTCTGAAATTGCGTCTTCTAGAGTGCCCTCAGCCCCTCCTCAAAGAGGGGGCCATGGCAGCTGCTCCTCTCATGCTGGCCGTCCAGAAGCTCAACCCATGCTTGATGGAGCTGTGCCGCTTTTTCCAGCAATGCCTCTGCCGGAGTCAGACAGATCCCAGGACAGAGGCCCTGAGGTAACCTGGCCCAGTGGCTGATTTTCACATCTAATATTTATAAGCTTCTTTTTCTGTGTGGTTTATCTGCAGGCCACAAGGTATTCAGACACCAAATAATCTACACACAAGTGGCAGGAGGTACATCAAGGAAAGGAGTCTTAGTGATTCCTCTACTAAATAGTCACATTCTTGAGATCCATCATGGTACCAAATTCATATCTGGGTCTCCAGAACCAATTGCAGGACCTGACACAAGAAGTACAATTGAGTTCAGTTGAAATGGAGATAAGTAGTATCCAACTGGGTTGGGTTGAGTTGTGTTGAGGAGTTGAGTTGTGTTGTGTTGAATTGAGTTGTATTGAGTTGAGTTGTGTTGAGTTGAATTGAGTTGAATTGAGTTGAGCTGAGTTGAGTTGAGTTGAGTTGAATTGAGTTGTGCTGAGTTTAATGGTGTTGAGTTTAGCTTGTCTTTCTTGTCAAGAAGAATTACCACAGAGGACTTTGACTACTCCTTTAATCCAGTTCCCTCAGCCTGATGATATTTCCTAGAAGAGGATGATCAGAGGATTTGTCCCTCCATCTGAAGGAAATGTCTTTAATAAATTTCTAGCAGTTATCTTCCAGTCAAATGAAAAGTTTGTAAAAATAAAATTAGAAAGTGGATCCCACTTATTTTAAGAAGATCTAAGCATGGACATTTTTCTGCCCTGTGATGTTGACATGCTATTATTTCTTTCCTTTTCTTTTTTTTTTCTTCTGGAATTTATTCTTGGGTATAAACCCAGTACCAAGTAACACAGAATAGATGAGTATTCCTGCAGGCTAATCTCTAAGATCTTTAATGTTATTTTCAAAGTCTATCCACAAGATCCAACAGTTTTTGAAATCTCCATTATTCTCTCCCTCTGAGCCCCAGGCCCAGGTGTGCTGTCTTTTCCCATAACCCCTTTCTGTCCCTGATCTTGGATTCCTCAGTGTGGACATTTCCTTCATCAAAAAAGGGCAATAAGCAAGACCCGGAGACCCAAAGACGAAGAAACTTTCACAGCAATACTTCCCTTATTGCCTAGGATAAAACCACTTATTAGGACTTTTACTTAGTAGTTCTTGGAATCAGCAACACCTGTTCTCTCCTACGTATCAGTGATGTAATGGAATAAGCCATAAGGATATACAGGTGAATCAGAAGTAGTCTGATGGTTTCATAACTGGGGAGAAGAAATGGTCACACAAAGACAAAATATAATATAGAAGGTGATAGAATCAAGCCATGTACCCAGGTAAAAGCCTGTTCAACCATATCCCACTGGGGGGAAATATCACATTTGAAAACATTCATATTGTAGATATTGGCTGAATGAACCAAATGAAGACATGCATTTCCAGAGAGAAGTTCAAGTTCAAATTTGGAGTAATGAAGCATCTATTCACCTGGACTTGTCCCTTCCTTTCCCTGCATTTTCAATGAATGGTGAATTGTTCCATAAACTTATATACTGAATATAGGCCAAAAATTCCAGAGTGGGAGGGGGTGTTACTCAGAATGTTTGTTGTATAAATAATACAGCCTCTGTGATGAGAGAGAGAGAGAAACCGACTATTTAGTGGAGAAGTTGGCAATGTAAAGAGATAAATTTCAAAGCAGTTGACAAGTCCTATTATAACAGATCCGAATAACATGCTGTGGAACCTCAGAGGAAACACCTAACAGGGTTGGATAGAGGAAAAGAAGTTTTCCCAGAAGAAAACAAGGGAGGTCACTCTAGGGAAAAGAAATAACCTGTGCAAAGATGGAGTGACAGGTCACCTGGATGCCTTAGGACCACTGAGATGTTTAATATCACTGCAGCAAAGATGGAAGACCACTGTCTCCAACACATGTTCCTATTCAGGACACCTTGCCCTTTCAAACACCTGGGTTACCTCTTACACATACAGATGATTTGTCTCTGGCTTTTGCTATAGATCTCCATCTATCCTGCCATGCTTTATATCCACTCCTCATTCAGAACAAATACAACATACGGAACCCTTGACGTCTGGCCTTCTACTCTGATTTTTAAACTGAGACACCCTAAACTCCCTCTCTTCACATCATCTCCCTCCCCTGGTCATCTCTTGAAACCTTTCCAGTGTAGGATCCCTACCACCACCCTTGGGACATACCGTCCCTTCTTGCAGGTTGTGAGAGCCCTGGTCCCTTCCCCTCCTTGTGTCTTACAAACTTTCTACCTCGGGCCCTACTCAAGTGTCCATGTCTCTGGCTCTGCCCAGGCTGTGGCCGACTCCACAGAGGATACAGCAGGTCCGGTCTGGCTCAAGGGGCTGGTGCAGTGGTGAGCTCATCCATCTAGCCTTTTCTGCATGAGAAATGCTTTCTGTCTAGGGGAGGAATGCATATTCTTGTCTTTAACAGGATCTGACTCTATTCCTTACAAAGTAATAATGGCCACTTGTCTATCATTCATTTCCCTCACTATATGCCTGCAGGATCCCCCTGCCAGAGAGCTCGGTGATGGGACATGTCATGTCGAAATAGTTCCTCTCCTGATCATAGAGGCAGAAAATTACCATTTAGCCTGCAAGTCATGTACTCTGTCAAAGTGAATTAAGGCACAATATGGCATCTCTTTGGTTTGTGAAGGTGTGGGTTCTGTTTCTACGGTTGCTAGAACCCAAGTTTTATTTGAAGCTTCGCAGAGCACCTTCATTTGAACCATGTTTGTCCATGTGGTAGCATCGTTTTCAAAAGCAAATAATTCCCCTGGGTAGTTAGTTTGATAATCTCTTCTGTTGGAAGCTTTCTGAGAAATATTGTGGCTGTTTTTATGAGAAAATATGCCTTGAACATTGTCAAAATAGCTAAGGAGGAATGACATTAGACCATAAAATCAAGGCCACCCCCCAAAAGTAAGTAGCTTACTATACTGTATGTCGTATGGAGGATGGGGCTTGAAGCCAAGGAAATTGGGTTAAATTTCGGCTCTGCCACTTATAATCTATGTGGTCTTGGGCTAGTCATTTAGTCTCTCTGAAACTCAGTTTGTTTGTGTACCAAATGGGTGTGTAGTCCTGCCTGTGTTTCAGGCCACACAATTCCAAGAGCACATTCCCACCGAAGGACAGCAGCATTTTTACCTGTATTGACAGTGTTGTGTGAACAAAATGAAATGAAATGAAATAAATGATGCATCTAATTGTTCTTCCCTGGTGCCTGGAAACGGCCCTCCGCAGTTGCTGCTGCAGACATTGCTGTGGGTTCTCTCTCGTCCACTCCCACCACCAAGTCTGTATCCCACCTCTAGCACACACCGTGTGTTGTTGCTATGGCAACTAAATGGTGGCCCTGTCAGCTGTTGAGCTGACCACGCTTGACATCCTCTCTCTTATGCTTGTGAAGGTCTCCTTAAGAGAGTGGGGTCGCAGGTTCAGAGGAAAAGCAGCCCAGGTTGTGTCCAGCCTTTGCCTCCTCACCCTCAGGTCCATCTCCTGCTTGTCCTCTTTTCTGCTCTTTAGTGAAGAGGGCTGACTTATGCCAACTACGTTTCCAGAACATCTTGCTGACAGCCTCGTGTTAGTTTGCCCAGTGGACAAGATTGGCAGGAGATTGCAGGGTGGCCTAGGAAGAAGCCAGAGAATTTCTCTGTGTCTCTCTCTGCTTTGGGCAAAGTTTCCAAAAATGACTCTGTCTCTTCTGCGGTTCCAGCTTCTCCAAGGAATCCTTATGACAGCTTCAGCTCTGTAACTCCAGACTCAAATATTGGTCTCCTTGCCTGTTGAGTGGCTGTGCGTTCTGGCATGGAGTGGCTCACCTGGGTTAAAATCCAGCACTGCCACTTGGAAGCAGTGTGTCCTTGGGCAAGGGGGTCAACCTCTGTGCCTCAGCTTTACATGTCCTTGTAAATTGGGAGTGATAGTACCTGGGAAATCTTTATAATGATCTGCATTTGAGAAGTTAGTTGCAAAATGGAAAGGAAATTAGAGAATGTTTAGTGCTACCACCTCACAGATCAGATGAGGGATTGGAAAGAAGATGAATTCCCAGAGTCATACCTTGAATCAGTGACACCATCTGCAGTGAAAACTCTCCTTCCTGATAACGTGACCAGTGATCTTTCCACTACAGCCCTTTGGAGCAACTCCTGTTGCCCTGACCAAGAGCAGGATATTCGCTTATGAGGTGCCACATTGTTAACAACAGCAAACCTCCAGCCCCCTCTCCCCATTGCTCACAGAAACGGACGCGCACCATCATTTATGGAGAACCTATTATATGCTGGGCCCTGTGCATGAACTTTACACATTTTATCTCATTTAATCTTCTTATAACCTGTGAGTGTAGATTCTTTTATTTGCCTTTCTCACACACACACACACACACACACATATATACTAAAGTCCAGAAAATTAAGTTATCAGCCTGAAGCTTCACATCCTACCTATTAAGTAGTGGGGCTAGGACTAAAAGTAAGTCTTGCTAACCCCCAAATACGAGCTTTTACCCACACAGCGTCCTCTCCTACCTCTCCTCGGATGCCCTATGAAGACAAACAGGGCTTCCTTGCTATGAGCAATGGCCATACATTCATATTTATGTACTTGCTTATTTTTATTCTGGCTGCCTTCTAATCGCAGCATAGTAATTGCTCCCACCTCTGGTTTAAATCTTCAGGTACTGTCCTGAGTACTATTCCTGGTATCTGAAGAATGCAACGTATGTCTGTCAGAGGGTGAAAAGGCTGTCACACTCTCACAGTACGTACCCTGCTTGCCTACGGTGTGACCTCACAGTGAATGCGTTATACCAGAGCCTCCTGTCACTCACAGTGATTTTCCTGCCCTAGCAGCAGGCCATGGAAATCTCACAGCTCACCCAGTCATCATCCATGCAGGAGAGTCTAGTATTCCTGATTCCTCTTCAACTAACAGCTTGATGTTTGCAATAAGGTATAGGAAAAAAAAATGCAGGTGGGGCGGCGCCTGTGGCTAAAAGAAGTAGGGTGCCAGCCCCACATACTGGAGGTGGCGGGTTCAAACTTGGCCCCAGCCAAAAACTGCAAAAAAAAAAAAAAAAAAAAAGCAGGTATAAGTCTGACCAAGCACTATTGCTCTCTGTGGGAACTCAGGCATATGTCCTAGCCTCTGAGTCCCCAGGTCCCCAATTAATACAGAAAGGCAAACAAAAATATAACAAAAGACAAACCCTACATAAACACTGAAATTCAGGACCAAAGAAAAATGGATACAAAGAATTGAAGGAAAAGAAAGCAGCGTGAAGTGGGCGTGTGACCATCAGCTTTATTTTTTTCTCCCCTGTCTACAGACAAAAGTGTCTGGTCTGGTCCCCAAACCAATGGCTTGTCCATTTTATCATGTCAAGAGACTCAGGTCCTCCAGAAATCATGGAACTACAAAGTATACCAAAATCTGTGGAAAACCCCTTGTTACTGTAACCCAGATACAAGCTGAGTGTCCATAGAGCCCAGTCTTGGCACTGTTTCACATGTAAACAAACCAACCACAGGCGAGCTATCCCATCTTCTCTTACCGCCCTTGTTGAAAATCAGGTGGGATCCACGGGATTCCCGACAACACTTCTAGAAACTCTTCTTGTTCTTTTCTCTCCATCGTCTCTCACATCTCATGAGCCACCATTCCAAAGCCTCTCCTTATGCCTGATTCCTTCTGCCTCTGCTCTTGCTCTCAAATGCAGTTTTGTTATGACTTACACGAATCCACCAGCTCATTTTTCCTGACTTCTCTTTGTACCATCACCTTCCCCTCTATTAAAAAATAGATGATGGCTCGGCGCCTGTGGCTCAAGCAGCTAAGGCGCCAGCCACATACACCTAAGGTGGCGGGTTCGAATCCCCAGCCCGGGCCCGCCAAACAACAATGATGGCTGCAACCAAAAAATGGCCAGGTGCTGTGGCAGGCGCCTGTAGTCCCAGCTATTTGGGAGGCTGAGGCAGGAGACTCGCTTGAGCCCAGGAGTTGGAGGTTGCTGTGAGCATGATGCCATGGCACTCTACCCAGGGGGATAGCTTGAGGCTCCATCTCAAAAAAAAAAAAAAAAAAAAATAGATGATGAGCATTAGGAGTGGACGGTTCAGAAGTCAAAGGCCAAAATCCCTTTACCCAGTGAGCAGGGGAGGGAATAGGAAACTTACAGACATGCAATTCAGTAGTTTTTCTTTTCTCATTGCCACATTCACTTCTCTATAAGTACAGCATGTTACATTTACTGAAGGTTTTAATGAGTTTGAATTAATGTCATGCAAACCAGATACAGCTGAGTACTGGAAAAAGTACCCTGAGCAAAGGTAGAGAAATATGGGCTGCACCTTGCTCAACTCTGCAGCTAACTGGAGGGGAAAGTCTTATCTGAGTCCTTCCCACTGTCTGACCCTGACTCTGAAAGACTCCTGTCCAGCACCATCTCACACCTGCACCCTGAGCCAACACTGGAGCTGTTTGAGTTTAACTCATGACTCTATAATATTTCTGTCTCATTACCCTGAGTTCTTTCTCATTTTTTTTCAGCCTTAAAACAAAAATGCCTTGAGAATATCTGCAAGTCTGTGTAAGACCTTGAAAATAATATTAGGGCCTAACTCTGACTCCAGGGGACATCCCCTCACCCTGTCTCGTGTCTCAAGGGGGCAACATTCGCAGGATTCACCCAGGCTCCAACTAGATCATCAATTAATCAAAAGTGGTTATTTGGGGGAGTAACATTTACGTCTCCCCTGCAAATCTGTGTAACGTATTGAGAGTCCAAGGCCCCATGTTAGAGATATCACCAACAATGCCAAAAGCGCCTGTCTGCTTCCAAGCCAAAGAAACATGATGGCTGTGCACAAGGAACTCCAGTGATGCTCACAGCGACTCTGATAATAAGGAGTGGGGGCAAGTGGGCACACTAGCCCAACAACCTAGTCCCGGCACAGTTCCTGAGGGGACTTAGACCTGAGACTTTCAGAAGACAATGAAAGAGTTGATTACGAAAGAGGGAGTCCATACTCTGGAGAGAGTGGGATAGAATTTTTCTGTCCAGTTACCTAAAACTTGGTTATATCCAACTCATGAAGGTTATATACAACTAGTCAGATTGGTCATACTATGGGATCTAGATAATTTTCCAAGCCATGTTAAGTAGCAGATGATGGAAACGTCCCTGCGGGAGGCAGTTTGGAGAACTGTTTTTATTGCTACCTTCTCTGGATTTCTCTTTTGTGGGTCCCACTGTATTCAGGGGTCCCAAGGGCAGTGTCAGGTTCAGTGATTCAATAGAAGGACTCCTGGAGTTCAGAAAAACTATTGTGTTTCTATTTGTCATGATTACAACAAAAGTCTACAGATAGAAATCAGCACAGGCAGAAGGCATCTAGAGCAGAGTGCCTGAGAGCCGGGGCACGAGCTTCCAGTCTTCCTCTCCCAGTGGAGTTGTGCGGTCAGCGCTTGATTCTCTCACAATGTGTGTAACGACACTTACGAGTACAGTCCACCAGGGAAGCACACCCAAGCCTTGGTGTCCCACAATTTCCCTGGGGGTCAGGCATGCCGGAATGGAATGCCTGCCTGCATGGCCAAACTTAGTTACTGTCTCCAGTCCTTTGAGAGCTCTGACTGAGACTGCATGACCTGAGGTCCCCACCATCAATCACATTGTGAGCATCAACTGTCCGGTGTGACCCAAAGCCCCAAGCGTACAAAGACACTCATCGGGCAGAATATTCCAAGGTTTGCCCTCAGGAGCTGGTCAAAGGCCAGAGCTCCCTCTAGAAGGTGCAGGGTTTGAACATCCTGTATTTGCTGAGTCCACCCTTTGCTGCACACCCACACTCTGCTGTGTCCCCTTCACTTTATTGGGTCCTGTGTTTTACTATCTCCAGGTTTGGAGCTGCTCTGACATCCATGTAGATGCTGAGCCTCTGAGCGGAGCATTACTAACCAAGTTTGCACTTGGCAGTGGCCCTGCCCAGACGTTTTTGGTCCTCATTGCCAGGGATAGCTTTCTCCCTGATATGTCCAGTGCCCCTTCTCCACTCTGTCACCTTAGGACCTGAGTGCCCATCACTTATCCCCCCTTCTGTGACCTATGGCTGCCCTTTTGTGAGGAAAGTCACTTTCTGTTCACGATCCAAGTAGGACAATTTTCTCCCATGGAAGACACTTGACTGCCCTGGCACTGACTGTAAAGAGTAAGGTGCTTGGGGAGGCTGAACTTGAACTTGAAGTAGAGGAGCAGCCAGTCACTCCTCTGTCTAGTCATATACACTGATTCTTTTTAATCTCCAGAACACTTGAGTTTATGTAAATGTCAATCTCATAAATGCCTACTGTCATGACTTTAGGGCTCTAGTTTGCAAAGATGAAAACACAGAAAATGGGGCAAAGGGACTCCTACTGAATAGGAATCAAGAGGAAAGGCCCATTTGATAAGTATGTGTTAATTTGATTAGACCCCCACATTGATATGAATTAAGGAAAAAATCCCCAAGATTCCTCAAAGAGTAACTTACCCTAAAGAATGAACTGTGGGCCTGCATCTGAGGCCAGGGCCATTCACTCGTGGGGAAAGCCCACGTGGACTTGGCTACCGCAGACCTTGGAGGAGTGAACATAACTGTAACCTTACAAAGCTCAAGCCTGCAGTATTTCTGAGGCCTGCACTGGGATCCTGCCCAGTACCAAAGACAAAGGCTCAGAGGGCCATATAGGACCAGTTTTCTATGTCACCCCACCTTTCGTAACAGCAGTGGTGGCCAGAGAAAAACAGGGCTCAAGAGTGAACTGACCAGTGCCTGGAGTCCGTGGGTCTCCTGGAGTTTAGGGGAGGTTTATCCCCTCCTCAGCTGAGTAAATTCTGAGTCAGGGGATGACTCAGGTAACGGGGTGGCCTCTGAGTTGCTGCTGAACCGGAGTTCCTACCATTGTGTGCATCTGTGGCCACCACTGTTATTGTACCTGAGCTGATGAAGGAGATTGTTGTTACATTTGTAACAACATTAAACTGCATTCTTCCTGGCAGCAAAGGTGTAGTTGCATTTTTATATATTCATTCATGCACAAAAGATAAGTTCAGTAGGAAAAAGAAAGAGAGAAGGAAAGGGAGAGAGAGGGGGAAGAAGAGAGAAAGTGGGGGAAGAAAGAGAAAGAGACAGAGAAGGACAGGGACAGGAAAAGGGAGAGGAAAGGGCAAAGGGAGGGAAGGAGAGAGAGGGAGGGAAGAAGATGGTGTCTGTGTTCCTGGCCCAGAGCATGTCTCTGTGTGTTTGTGTGTGCATGTGACTCCTACTTCCTCACAGCTGCACTTGTGCTATGGATTTCTGAGTGAAGAATTCAGGTGCTGATATAATAAAATCTGCAATGCTTTTTTTTTATTTTTAATTTTTTTAGGCAGAGTCTCACTCTGTCACCGGGGGTAGAGTGCTATGGCATCATGGCTCACAGTAACCTCAATGTCTTGGGCTCAAGCAATCCTCTTGTCTCAGCCTCCCAAGTAGCTGAGAGTATAGGCACCTGCCACAATGCCCGGATAGGTTTTCTATTTTTAGTAGAGATGGGGTCTAGCTTGGCTCAGCCTGGTCTCGGACTTCTGAGCTTAGTTAATCCACCCACTTTGGCTTCTGAGAGTGCTGGGTGTGGTGAGCCACCACACCCAGCCTGTAATCTGCAATTCTAAATACTCAATTTAGAACAGACTTTTTCACCTCTATCTGGGTTCTGATGAAAACTTCAGCCTCACATTATTCTATCAACCCAGAAGAGAAAGGCCAAGCTTCCAGCGACATTGGAGGCCAGTGGTTCTCAATCAGGAGTGATTTGGCCTCCCCTGGCACACTTGGCACTGTCCAGAGGCACGTTTGGTTGTCACAACTTGGTGCAGAGTGCCACTGGCATGTCATGGGTTGAGACCCAGGATGCTGCAGTGTGCAGGATGGCTCCCACGCAAAAAAAGAACGATTTGGCCCAAAACGTCAATGTAAGATTAAGACATCCCATTGGAGGCAATGGGGAGATAATGAACCTTCTTCTCCAATCCCCATGAAATGTCTAGAACAACACACCTGTGCGGGCTGTCATCACGCCTCAGAACTGCACAGTAGCTGCACTCTGGAAATGCTGCAAAGATGGATTTTGTTACGTTGAGCCAAATGTCCCTGTTGACCTGATAGCTGTAAGAACAGTGGGCCTTCTGTGCTAATTAGAAGGGACTGGAAGCCATGCAGCCGCATTCCTTAGTGCGCACACACACGTGGTCCTGAACAACAGCTGATGATCTTCAAACCAAAGCTTCAGGGCACAACTTCAGCTACGTACTTGAAGACACTGCTCAGTGGCTTCTGTAAAGCCTCACCTGTACCCTGATTTAACCCTCTGAGGGGTCGTCTCCTGCAGGAGGCAGAGGCAGGTGAGCAGCTCAGAGGGTTCACGGCCAGGCTAACCTGCATCCCAGAATGACCCCATCACTGACAGATGCTTCAACCTCAACACAGTTTTTTCTCATCTGTGAAACAGAGCTAATTCTCCATTGCTCCATTATGAGAACAGCAATGGTGGGGCTGCTATAGGGATGGTGAGGACAAAATCCCATAAAACATTTGTGGTACATGAAGTTAGTTCTCCTTGTTAAAATCAGGAAAGAAAACACTTCCCAAGAGGATATGAAGAGAAAGGGAGAGGAGGCAGGACTCACATAGCACCTCCCACGCACAGGACAAGCCTCACTGCCTCCTCCCAAACCTAGCAAGCCAAGACTGCAAGGTGACGTGGTCAAGGTCACACTGTGCTCTCGCAGGGCTGGCGGTAGAACCTAAGGTGTCTGATCAGGAAGACTTACCGCACCCTGCCCCACAGCTTGGGCAGCAAACCCCTGACAGAAAGGGGCCTCAAAGTCCCAGGTCTGAGGTCAAGACCGTATATGAAGAGTCGCCCCAGTGATCCTCCTGCTGAAGAATTAACTAGACCAGACAAAGCCAGTCCCTTTTCTGTGGGGGATCCCACGTGACTTTCATTAATTAGTCTTTCATCCCTCAGAGTTCCCCTGCTGACCCTGAGACATAATCCAGGGGCCTCCAAGCCTTTGAGGTGCCGTGGGGTGGTGTGGAACAGGGCCCCATTGTTCTCTAATTACAGCCTGGGTCTCCTCCGAGCTGGAGATGCGGCCTCTTAGTATGGAGCCCTGGAGGCCACCCTCCCCTCGGCAGCCCACCTGCCCACGCTCATGAAAGGCTGCTTTCTTATGTGGGGAGGGGAGGTGGTCACGTGACTAGGGGGCTCTCCTCGGGGTATAAAGGAGTCAGGCTCCCTCTGTTCTAAGCCACGCATCCTTCTCCAACTGCACTCAAGTGGAACTTTCACGGTAGGCACCCAGCTTTGAGGGGGTGGGAGCCAAAGAGGGACAGAGAGAGAAAAGGGGGAGGGAGGGGGAAAAGTGGGAGAGAGGGAGAAACAGACAGAGAAGGAGACACAGGAATGGATGGAGAAAGAGAGGAGGGAGGGAGGGAGGGAGGGAGGATGCACTCAAGGGGGCTCTAAGCCCATCTGTGAGGAGATACAAGGCCACCTGGATGGCAGGTGAATTCACCTGAGGGAGAGATCTCCCACCCCACGCCAGTGAAGATTCTATAAGCCTGTGCTGGCCCGCGGCCCTTCCCAGGGCAACAGCTATAGAAACACCATCACCAGTAACTCTGGGCAGTTCTTCCTGCCGCGCGCCAGGCATGATGTTCTGCCTTAACAAGTTTCCTCTGTCATCCGCAGGATGCCCTGATGGGACAACACCATTACACGCATTTTGATACCCAGGAAAATGTCCCAGGGCACCCCAGATCCATCCAGCTAGCAAGGCCTTGCTCTTAAATATTGCCTGGGCTGCTGCAAAATTGACCAAGGTTTCAAACATGACATACAGACCACAGTGAGGCCTGAGGGGCCTTCTCAGGCCCACAGGGCCAGCACTGGCCCACGGGACCATGGCAGCCCCACAAGCCTCCGTGGGCAGATTAGGAGAAGGTCCTTCCTTTGGGTGGACATAGCGCCGCACCCAGCTTGACCAACAGAAGGGTCCTGGAGTACAGTCCCCCCCACAAACGTGCATGTCCCCCAGATTCAGTGGCCGTCATGGTCACTCAGGGCTGACCATGTGCTGCCACCTTTCTGGCTGACACTGTGACTTCCCTTTTCTGGGCTCTGAGAAAGGTTGTTATCTGCTGTGATGACACACCCCAGGGAGTGGCTGGACAGTCTGAGGGTCCTCCCAAGAGAGTATGACCAATGATTATGAAACTTCTGCAGTGCATAATCACTGGGCCTTTAGTTTGGATTGAATGACCAGCCTGGCAGTAAGGGTCACAGGCGTAGAACAAAGATCTGAGTGGGACTGGCCCCCTTAGCTGGAGTCCTGGGTCTTCCCGTTGCCATAGCGCCTCCTTCTGGGCAAAGGTGGCTTCGGAAAGTGACTATCTCTGAGAGTCCCCTCAGACACTAGAAAATGAAGTGTGTGATAGTAAACTCTTTGGGTGCTGTTACCAGATGGTGCACAGGGCATGCTCAGCAGAGCACTTGACACCAGGAATGACCCAGTAAATGAGAATGTGTGCTTAAAGGAATAAAGCCCTAATTTTATAACTTGCTTTTTAAACATCATGGTAAAACTCACATGCTATCGATCACCTTAGCCCCCTTTAAGTGCACAGCCCAGTAGCATTAAGTACATTTCACATTTTTGTACAACCATCACCACCATCCACCTCCAGAAATTTTACTCTGAACCCATTAAGTGAGAGCTCCCCGGTCACCCCTCTCTGTAACTTGCTTATAAAAATAAATTAGGGCAGGGCCAAGGTTATGTCTGTAATAAGGTCACTTTTGCTCATTTGTATTCAATAAACGTAGCCAAGGAGGCAGAAGGTGAACCTGACGCTCAGCCCGTCTTACGGGAGCTGCAGGACAACCCAGGGGAAGGTGCCCCAGAAAGAAGAGTCACCAAAGAAAAGGAGCAGAGAGCCACTGCACTGAACTGACCCCCCCTTCACCAAATGGGGGCTTCCACTCAGATCAGGAGCTAGGGACCAGCACGGGGGGCTTCACTGTCACAGCTGCTGGGTGTACAGCCTTTCCCTGCAGGCAGACACTGTGACTGTAATTCCCAGTGTTTCTAAGCAGGCACTGCGTTAAGTGCCTCACGCAGATCACTCACTTCAGTCATAGCACTGGATGGGAGTCAGGAGACCCGGCAAGTGGGACATTTTTACCAAAATTTTTACGGTCTTTGAGCTTCAGTGATCTCATCTGCAAAATGAGGGTTTGGATTAGGTGATTCCAGTGCCCCGGCCTGCCACCAAGTTCAGGCATGTCCTGGCATTCCCTCATGATGTGATGGTAACTAAAAAAAAATCCTGACACAGTGTCAGGTAGTGACTAAATTGTCCAAGGTCACATTGGCCTTAGTCATGTGGATGTGACCACAAAGGGGTCTCTGGATTCCTCTGAAGTAAAACCTACTCGTCAATGCCGTTGCCAGGGAATACCAATTTTCATCTGGAGACTCCATTTCTCACCCTTAATTTCAATCTGGTTTCATGACCTGAGAAGGAATCATGCACCAGACTGATAACAACCCTGAAAAGGACAGGCTCTGAAGTTGAGCCCTGGCTGCATTCCGGCCTCCACTTGCCCTCTTGCTGAGCACCTTTGTGCAGTGCCCAACATGTGCAACCCTACCCAGCAGTCCCATGTGTGCCACTGGGTAGCATGGACCACGTTGTGTTATCATTCATACTTTGCCCTAAAAACACATTCTAAGGCAGAATATGCACAAGTCAACCAACCATATTTCATTCTCCCGGGAGTTATATTCCCAGGGAGCTAAAAGTATTTCAAAAATCTCCCTGGTCTTTTTTTTTTTCCTATTTAATATATGATTGACTGGCTTGAGTCTAGTGAGTACCTGTTGAAATTAAATATTTGCTGATTTGAGCATAGGGCTGCTACAATTGCAATAGCAGGGTAACTGGACTTTGCCGTCTCACCCTGTCCCCCCAGAGCATCCCCTGAGGCAAATCTATTGACCCCTAGACCTGCAACAAAGTATTCAAAATTCTCAAAAGCCAAGGCAGGGAAGATGGAGACGCGGCAGGAAAAGCTTTGTTTGCTGGCAGACAGCACCACCCTGTGGTTGCTGATTGTATTCATAGAACAGGAGATGTTGGTACAAAAAAGTTCAAAGCCCGTTTGGAATGCTGGTGCCTGGTCATGTACAGGTTATTTAAAATTCAATTAACGAAAGTTAAACTATAGCACTTCTTAAATCGCCTTCCTGCCCCATCAGTCTGCAAACAACTCGCAGGTAAGCAGTATGTCTTCCTCGCTTTGCATTCCTGGATCCTGAGTCTTTGATGCCTGACACAAGACAGGTCAGGAATAAATGACCATAGAACAAATGAGTAAACAAATGAGACCACAGCTGTGTCTTCAAGGAGATCGTGGTCACACTTCCATTTCACAGATGGATAAACTAAGTCTCAAAGAGCGAATGTGATCTCATTAATGCCAGTGTGATCTTGTTAATTAGTGGCACAGCTAAGATAGAAACCTTTCTGGAATTTTCTCTTTTTGCCACATGTCCTATGGGACCAAGGAGGGACAAAGCTTGTGCGAGCCCTTTCATGGGGTTTGTGAAAACCCACTGACCACGTTCTGTGCTGGATTGTCTCCCAGGAGTCGGGTCCAGTTACTGCCTGAGCCCGTCCCTTGCTCTCCTGCCATGATCTTGCTGCTCTTGAGCGTGCTGGTGGTGCCCTGTGCTGGTGAGTAATGGTATTTTACACTGTATTTCTGGCCTGGCATAGAGTTACATCACATGAGCACTGAGAGTTATTGTCAAATTGCATCTGATTTGCTTATTAGTGCTTATTAGAACCATCACCCATTAGGGAGGGGGGTAAAAACTGCAGGTTGGAGTCAAAAGGATGTCTGAGCACCCTGCGCAGTATCTGCAAGTGTGGGTGAGAGGTGGCATAGAGAGTGGAGTGCAACAAAAAGCAAGGTGGCCCCTCTTCACATGGGAGCACGTCTTCGCCCCCCTTTCTCATGGGTGCTTCCTGCATTTCGCTGGTCTCCTTGGAGAACTCCGCCCTCTTGGTACGCAGCAGCATCCAGTGAAAAGGGCAGACACCTCCATCCCCACATTCTAAAATGAGTCCTGTCCCTCCCCCAAACCTAACTACATGGCTGTGAGCTCCTTGGCAGCAGCCAGGGGGAGTAATTTCAAGTTCACCTGGAGTCCTAGCTAGGAATCGGAGCCTTCTGCCCTGGCCCGATTTCCTGTCTTCTGTGCATATTCAGGCTGTCAACACCCAAACTCACGCCTTTCCTCCCTCTCACGGACAGGGCACACAGTAACGACATACTCCCTGATCAGGCACTTCATCCTTCCTTTCTCATATTCAGGTAAACTCTGGACCAACACACTCACCCTCCCTCTCTGATGTCCCCTTGCAAACAGCAGTGATGAAAGTGAGGCAATGTGAACCCACAGATATTTGTTGATTATCTTGCCTATGACCCACGTTAATGGACAATTCAGAAGGTATGCATGTGACCCAGAGGCTTGCAAGTTAAAAATCAGTGTAAGCATTTGACATGAGACTTCATGAGAGAGACTTCAAGTGTCAGACTCCAAACCCCGTCTCAGTCCTTCCCTCTAACACACGGTGGACCAGCCAGTGCTGCTGGGCCTCTATTGATGCTTTACTTCTGCACATGAGTGTGTGTGTGTGTGTGTTTTTCTGATTAAAGCATTCGTGTTATGACCTGGGGCCCCATTGCCAGAGCAACTGGGGCTAGCGTGTCAGCAACTTAGCCTCCACCGAGACTTCAAGTCATCCTGATAAGATTCCAGCTACGATCTTAAAGTGCCTCACTGTGGGTGACCAAAGCATGAAATACTCTATAGAAATTAGTCTCCCATTTTTTCTTTTAAATGAGATTTTCCTCTTTCAAAACAACAAATTTCTCTCTGGTAAAACTGTTCCTTTACATCCCCCCACACGAACTTCCACGTGTCTTTTGAATTTTTTTATTTTTCTATAAAATTGAGACCACTAAACAGTTTTTCCCTGTTTTTCTTGCTTTATTTCTTTTTCCTCTTTTAGTGTTTGGCTATCACATTGTGATAATGAAAATGATAATGATATCCTCTACGATTATAAATTGTTACAAACATTTTTGGTATGCCCAGAGAGATTTTATTTTCAAACATATATAACTGACATTTAAAAAATTATAGTCATTGACACTGTAGGTGGAAGCCTGTGGTGGATGGAACATTCCGTACCTACAGCTCCAATTTGCAGGGGTGAGTGTGTGACTACCACCAAGATAAGACTGTCTGCCCAACAAGTTCACCAATTCTGGGTCCAGACATTGTTGGGAGGAAGGTTCATTTTAGAGGTTTCTGCCTCAAAGAAATAGGAGTGGTGAGTGAGTTTTGGTTTTGCAAGAAACAGATGCCAAGACCACATTAAGTGTGCTAAGATTTCATGAAAGGAAACATCTATGAGAAAAAAATGGGTTGGCAACTAGGAAAGGCCGGGAGACCCTCCAGCAGTTCTGCAGATGGGCAGAGGGAAGCTGGACATGTGCTACACTACAGGTGGGTCTAGTGGAAGGTAGACAAGGCCCCATCCAGGAGGAGTTCGTCAGAGGACCCTGCGCCCCCTATGAACCCTGCCCTCTATAGGGTACCCACCTGTACTGGCTCATTGGTAGGGACCACCATGGGGCTGGGCAGGGGTGTGGCCCCTGTGCAAATGCTGCTGTGAACTTCAGGGCCTAGCCTGGCCCTCCCTCAGTTACACTCCCTGCTCTGCAGCCCTGCCAGGTGCCTTCGCACGGCTGTCCCTGAGCCTGATTTTAGGACAGTGCTCTGTACTTGTTGATAACAGGGAGGGTCTTTGTGCACAAGGTCTCTCCAGATGTTTCCCCATCTCTGAAGCAGGATGAGGAGCAGCCTCACATTTGCTCCCTCTCGCAGCTGGGGTGGGGGTGCCGCCTTTCTTCTGCCCCTGTCTCAGAGCTGGCGAGTGGCTTCTAGGGCAGGAGTCAGCGGGGCATGCTGGTCAAATTTGTGTCAGGAGAGAGGGATCCCTTGGACCTTTCACCTAAAGTGAATGGTCCCTTTGTCTGGGAGCTCTGCAGTGGAGCTTGTTCCATCACACAGCCACGTGCTGGCCCCTGTGGCCACTGTCCTTTGCTTGTTCATTCCCCTCTGTGACTTCAAGTAAGGAGGTGGGCATTCCCGGTTTGTCTTGTGTGTGGAATACATAATGCTGTGAAATCTCATCCTAAATCACTAATAGAACTTACCATTCTGCTATCTAAAGATGCTATCCTTTACCTTTGCTTTAAGTTTCCTAGACCAGGATTCTGTGATTCTAGCAGGGCATCCAGCCCTCATGGGCCCCCAGATGGTACGTTCAACTACAGCATGTCCAACCCTTCATTAAACAGACATTGACTGAAGTTGTGTTCTCTCTCGTATACACATAAAGTAAATATATCCATGGAATATTTATGAAATACATCATGGGGCTTACCTTCAGTGAGTCCCTGGTTTAGTGGGAGAAACAGTGGTGTAAATACATCATGCAACATGGGGTGACAAGTGCAACGGAAGTAGGGTGTTGCTGACATTATGCAAGCACAGGGTAGCAACCCTACCCAGCCCAAGTTAAGGGTCACTTAGGGGTTCTTGAACTTCTAGTGGAAACATAGAATGTTGATAAAAGTTAGTAATGCAAGGGAACAGACACAGGGAGGGCACTCCATGCCCAGGACAGAGCACAAGCAGAATAGGATGGTGGCGTGAAGTATTTTTTTCAGCATCGCAGGAGCATGAAGTTCAAGGTAGAGGATGATTTCAGCAGAGGCGGCAGGAGCCAGAAGGAGAGCTGTATGCGCCTTATGTGCTGTACAGCCTCAAGGAGAGCTGTATGTGCCTTATGTGCCGGCTCAAAGAAGCTAGAGCTTCATGCATGAGCCTCAGTCTCATCATCCACAAAATGGTAAGGACAACAAGTGCTGCACAGCCCTGGGGGAGGGTCAGTGGAGGCCATGTATGCAGAATACAGCCCCAGCTCTGCTCGTGGAGCCGGACCGCTGCTTGTCACCTTCCCACACGAACGACAAATTTACTGAGTCAGAAGCTCTGTTATTCTGGTAAATTTTATCTTTGCATTGACTTTCCATCTCGCTTTCCCCACCACACTGCCAGACTTTGTGAGTGAACTAATTCAGTCCTTTGGGATTAAGGGTTTAGAATCCAGGGTGACTTTCCTACTTGCTAATGAAAATGTGTGGGCGGTGATATCCTGGAAGTAAGTGGGAGTACCCTGAAGCAAGCATGCCTGATTAGCACCTATCAGTAGTAAGATCCTCTCCCACTGTCCAGAATAGGAAGTTAATTACCTTTGTTGCACAAAGAAATTCAAGTGAAGTGATTATCAAGGAGCAGACAATAGTTTACAATCGCTGCACAAGTGGGCAGCAGGTACTCTGAATGGTTGGCCGTTGTGCTGATGACTTTCCCAGGCAATTATGCCAAATGTAAAATGTGCCAAGGCAATTACACGGGCTCTGTGACAGGGCGCAAATGGAACGGAATCCGCCAGTCGGGTCTGCGTCTTGCAGGCCCCAGTCCCCTCAGACCTACAGTTCTCAGGCAGAAGGAAATTCCCTCTCCATGGAAACCGTGGGAGGGAGAACCTGGCAGAGAAGACCCCTGGCTGGCGCTGAGCCCAGAGAACTGCACAGCCACAACCCTGCACAGCCCTGCCGCTCTGAGCTAGATGGAGCACTGCCCCCCAACCCTACTGCACACACCCCGGCACTATCCTTTCCTTTAGCCCTCAAACCAGAGTCAGCCTGTTTTGTTTAGTCTACATACTATTTCATTTCAAGTATGGGAAGATTTTCCCCCCAAATTTATATTTCTGTCAAATTCTGAAAAGTTTAAATTATGGGACACTTTTCCCCAACTCTTGGGGCTGAGTTCTTCCCCTCTCACTCGGACCTTGGTCTCTCTAGTTTTACACAGTCCCCACATTCTGTTTCTTCCCCACCCTGGGCTCACGCCTCTCATTTACCTTTTCTATGTGTCCCTTGGGGAGATGTGGATTTGGAGTCCTGAGTCTTAAGTCTGACACCATTTTCTCTGGACAAGTACAGTCAGCCCAGGCACTCTGGGCTCTGGGCATCCCGTCTCAGCCATCACAAGTCAGAGTTTCCTTTAATCCACTCAACAAGTACTGGTTGAATTTCTAGGTGTACCAAGTGAGGGACCGGGCCTTGGAACTAAGCAATTCCTGTCCTCAAGAGGTTCAGTGTCTTATGAGAATCACTGTGGAAGCACTGCAGTAGAGGCGACCAGCCCAGGTTCCCCCCAAAGTCAGAGGAAGGCATGGGGAAAGACTTCCATATGGTGTTGTTCAAAGAAAGCCTTCCATGGTGTTGGCAGGGCTCAGCCTGGCGGAGTCATGGTCACAGTGTTCAGCAGAGGCCACAGCCTGTGCAAAGGCCCAGGACCCAGGGCACATGCAGAGGCTGAAAGCCATGCAGGATGGCTGGAGTGCAGAGGGGACGTGGTCCCAGCTGTGCCAACCCACTGTGCCCCCCAATACACTGCACAACTTCACACCACTATGTCTTTACTGTTGCCTCTCCCCTCCCTTTCTGCCTGAAGAACTCTTGTCCCCAGGGACTCTGAGGCTTCTCTGGATACAACTTTGACCACACTCTGCCCGTTGGCTATGTATGGGCATCAGTAGTTATCATCAAAGGAATGGACTTGTGGCCTCATCCTTTGATCTAGAAATGCCCGGTGTGACTCTTTAGGCCCCTCTCCATCCTGTTTTATAGTTGAGAACTCAGAGGTCTAGACAGTCTGCACCTTCCCAAGGCCACAGAGCAGAACAAGCTAGAAATGAGGACCAGGGCTTGGGCTGGGCAACTGCATGCCCAGGAGGGCTGAGACACAGTCCACAGGAGGGACACTGCAACTCCCAGCAAACCACCTCCCCTAAGGGTCTGACCGTAAAGTCCTGGCTCTGCAGTTCTGAGGCACCACAGGTGCGTAGGTGGGAGCCTGCCCTTCCACCTGCTAAAGATGTCTGTGTCCCCTAGATAATTCCATGGTGATAATGATGAGCTTGATGATAACTGTAAGATCCAAGCAATGCTATCCATGTGTGAGTACAGAGGGGAAAGGGGCAGTGAGTAGATATTGATAATAGTAGTAACAAATAACTTCTGTAACTTCTGTAGCGTTGACTTCTGTGCTGGCTGACGTCATTTCTTTCCGTCTTCACAACACTGCCTTGGTGGATGTGATCAGCTGTTTCAGGCCTAATTTCTCTGGTACAACTCCATTGTGCCAAACCTTTGTGACTCACTACAGACCTCCAGCTCCTTAGTGAATGAACATGAAGGCCACCAGGGAGGCAGCCAGCCAAGTGACCGAGTGACTGAGTCTGGAAACAGACTCAGTGCACCCACTTATCTGCCTGAAGATCTCCCGAATTCAAAACCTGCATGCTTAACGTTTCACTGTGGATAAGCACAGATCAGAGGGCTGTGTCTGAGGCGCATGAATCCACAACAGTTGTTTAGAAGCATCTTAATGGGGAAGGGATGTCGGTCTCACAGCCATGACATTGAACTTTTGCTGTTCTCACCTTTCCCCATTTATTCTCTGTAGATGTAACATTTGCCTGGATTAAACTGTCTCTTCATCCTCTCAGCACATTGATAGTATTTTGTAAATACTATCAGTTAATAGCCCGGCCTCTGTGGGGGCTGATGACCTTTGCCATAGACCTATTTAGCTACCATAACCTTTTTCACAGCTCCTGTCCCCAAGTTATCAATTGGAGGTTTCATTTGCAGCATGAGCTCAAGCCTAACCACTTCATGAGCATTTATCTGCCCATGCGGCCTTGTGACATGGTGGTGACATATCGGAGTTCACCATGTCTGCTGCTGCCATCTGTGGAAGGCTGTGATGTGGGTTGATTTGCACTATTTTCATCAGTGTGCATATACTGATGTGTCATTAGCATTTTATGTCACACTATCTCACGTCCACATGATTCAAATTCACATAAAACAAGACTGCATTCTAAGGGCCTTTGAACTCACAGGCCTGACCTAAAACCTTACCTTGTGCCCACTGTGTCACCCCAGCAAATCACTGAAGTCCCAAATCCTCAGTTTTCTGTGGGTAGAATAAAAATAATCAGCCTCACCTCACTGGATCACTATATGGGCTCTGGAGGCAAAGGGGACCGCAGAGCAAAAGCTTAAGGCCCTGGGAGGAGCTGGCTGTGGCAGCACAGGGAGGCCAGCAGGAGGAGGGGACAGGAGCTGGAAGCCCCAAAGACTTCACCAAGGGAACCTATGGAGGGTTCAAAACAGGCATAGTGAGGGTGGAGTTGTAGGCATGCACTGTGCATGAGGACTCACTCACCACGGGCAGGCAACTGTCTGAAATCCCTTCTGTACCTAGTCATCTTCAGTAACCTAAGCTTCTTCCTGGGACCTGGACACACAGGCCTCACTAAGGGAGGCCCAAGGATGTCCTCACACCTTACTGAAGACACCTCTCCCCATAGGATTCTGGGAGGCTGCAGGATGTAGAAATAGACCCTGGAAGGAGGCAGAAGGCCAGGTGAGCACCACACCCTCCCTCCTCCAGGCCAGCAGCGAGACTCTGGGCACCTTGCTTGTTCTCACTGAGCATCACTTTGATCCTCTGTAAAATGGAAACGATTGTATCTGCCTGGCAAGGTGCTTACAGACATAAGACGACACAGGTGTCTGTCATACTTCACACAAGTCCTGGCTCATGGAAGATCTCAATAAGGTCTTTTACACTGAATGAAACAAACAAACAAACAAAAATCAGAGCTTAAAGGGCCCTAAAGATAGCCCTATCCAGGTTCCACTCTAGAGATGAGAATGTTGTAGGATTAAACTTGAAAGCAGAGTGGGAAGTGGTATCTGGGAGTTCTCACTCCAAAAGTACTACTATTTTTATCCTTTCTCTCACTATGCCACTATGCTGTTCCTGGTAGCCCTCACACTTGTCCCTGCATACAGCTCTATTTCCTCTTTTATGCTTTTTTAAATAAATATAAATAGTTTTTAATTAATTTAAATAAATGTCCTTCACTCATATAACTCCTGCTTACTCTTTAGATTAGCTCAAAAACACCCCCCCCAATTATTCCATAGCTAACGATACCTTCTTTCAGCCAAACTTGGGCATTTATATATATCATGGCACAGAGGTAAAAGTATGGGGTTGGCACCAAACAAATGTGGATTCTCATCCCAGCTCGGTAACTTCTTGGTTTTGTGACCAGGAACAAAGTTCTCCCAGATGAAACAGACCTTTTAATTGGTAAGTAGAGGACAGGCTGGTGGTTCACACCTGTAATCCTAGCACTCTGGGAGGCCAAGGTAGGTGGATTGCTTGAGCTCATGAGTTTGAGACCAGCCTAAGAAAGAATGAGACCTCTTCTCTAAAAATAGCTGGGTGTTGTGTTGGGCACCTGTAGCCCCAGCTACTTGGGAGGCTGAGGCAAGAGGATCACTTGAGCCCAAGAGTTTGAGGTTGCTGTGAGCTATGATCCCACAGTACTCTACCCAGGGTGACAAAGTGAGACTCTGTGCCAAAAAAAAAAAAAAGATAAATAAATCAAATTATTTTTTAATAAAACAAACAAGTGAGTTGACTTAAATACATATAAGTATACAAATGTGTATACATATGTGTATGTATGTATATGTATATATATAGAGAGAATCTATATGTATACATTTTGGGTTACCGTGTGTATATACTATATGTGTGTGTACAGAGAACCAAAAAATGTATATAAATTTTAAGAAAGGAAAATACTGTATTAAAATTGTAATACTCAATATATACCAATAACAAAAGATGAATACAAGTCACATTTGAGCACCTCTTGTAATTGTAGAAATCAGACATGACTTGAGGGGTTACAATTTTAATATAGATTTTTCCTTTCTTAAAATGTGTATTCTTTTTGTTGGCATTCTTTGTGTCTATTTTTGTGTACGTATGTGTGTATGCATATATGTGTGTATATATGCATGTGTATATATATGTGTGTATATATATGTATACAGAGAGAGAGAGAGAATAGTAGAGTCAACCTGCCGGGGATGGGCGCTTGAGGAACCTTGCAGGGATGGTGTATTAACAGTTCCAGGCCTGGTCCTGGTCCTGGTCCTGTTCCTTGCAAGAACAAGAAGCATCATTGCTTCCACCATCACCATTCCTCTCCACTAGGAAGGACTTTCAGCCAGATTCGTTGACTTCCTCAGGAAGCCTTTCTGGAAAGCCCAAGGAGAGTGAACTGTACCAGAAGAAAGGACAAGTGGCAGCTCCGAATGTCATAAGATAACGAGAGATAAGGCTCAGACAGACAGTCATTGCACGATCAGGACCTCTCACCTTGCCCCAGATTCTTTCTTTCCGAGCTGGTGGTTCTTAACTGGGGTGCTTTAGTGCACACACACACACACACACACACACACATCCTCACCAGCACTGCTGGGTGTGTGTATAATGGGGGAGTTAGTTGTTGCTACTGGCATCTAGTGGGCAGAGGCCAGGGCTGCTACAAATCCTACAGTGCACAGGACAATCCCCAACAAAAGAACATTTTCCAGCCCTGTATGTCAATAATGTGAGGCTGAGAGACCTGCCCTAAGCCAAAACAGGCCAGGCCAGGCACCATCTGGGGCCAGCACCCTCAACACATTTAATCTACTGCTTCTGTGAACCTGACCCTTTGTGACTGTCAGATTGATGGGGCTCCAAATAGTGTCAAACCGACAAGGCTGACTACATAACTGTCACTCAATGAAGAAAGACAAAACTCTTTTGACAATTTCCAACTCCCTACAAGCTTTATATCATTGGGAAAAGGGAAATGTGAGCACAGACAGGTCTGTAAGCGCTCTGAGCCTTTAGGGAGCACATCTATGGCCAAACTGGAATTACAACTCCATCTACCTGCCCCCACTGCACAGGCTGCATCTGCAGGCCCCCCACCATGATGAAGGCTGGTTAAAGGTAATGGCAGTTTGGGGGTACTAGCAGTGTTCCACTCTCTATCATCTTTTCACCTCCAAGCAGTATTTCTCAAGGTGAGTTTTCTAGACCACCAGCTTCAACTTGAGTGAGAGCACAGGAATCAGAATCGTTTGTGGAGCCCACATCCCGAGTTATTTTGATATTAATAGTCTGGGGAAATCCTAACTCCAGATCACAAACCCCTTGAGAGTTGGCATCCTTCCCTTGCCCTTTCCACCAGTGCTTCACCTCAAAAAACTCTAAAACAAACGTACAATCTAAATAATGCTTCAGATGCAAGAATGCCATTGTCAAGGCCACCAGTGTAAACACCAGGGCTACTCCAGCCACCTTTTTTATTTCTTCAGGAGCTGCCACATAGATCTGGCACATAGCAGGTTCTAGAAAGATATGCATGGAATTGAACTGACATGCATCCCCTCCCGGCTTCCATCCTGCAAGTGGGTAGGGGCAGTTTTTGTGCTGACCCTGCTGTTTCTTCCTTCTTTTTAGGGGGTCACACTCTGGACACCCCACACTTTCCACAGGAGCTGCCTCCAGAACTCTCAAAAAACATCAGTAAGTATTCTTTGAACTTTTCCTAGGATCTGGGAAGAAAGTTAGTTACATATTGGCAGAGAAAACAATCCCAGAGCCACTCATTTCTGTGGCATTTGTAAGCAAAGCGATTCAAGCAGAACTCAAAAGTATCTTCCCAGCAGACTCCCCTGGTGTCTTACCCAGGTCACCCTAAAGGGGAAACCAGTAGAAGGCAGGAAATAGGCCAATCATAAGGGTTATGCTGCTAATCTTAGCTTCAAATTCAGCTCTGACCTTCCCAGGAGGTAAGACAAAGAGGTAACACATACACGATGTGTTGCTTGCTCTGGTTGTAAGAAAGGAGGATCTGTATTTGTGTTTTGGAGAAGAGAAGGATTTCCTGGTAATGGATAGTAAAGATTGCTCAGGTGGGTCCTTGTACAGGTATGGCTGAAGAACACAACGCACAGGGACTTAGCTGGCGATGTCAGCCCTGAGTCAATGGCTCATTTCCAACCACTCAGAGAAGTGAGTTAAGTCAACCACATCATTAATACACAAACCCATGTAAGCAGCAAAGTGACTCATCCCACACAGATCCAGATGACTAGTGCCTCTCTCCAAATGGCAAAACTCCCATAGGATGTGGGGCCCACCAGGAGGCCACCTTAAAGTAGCCATTTAGACTTACAGACCACCCTGGCACTTAGTAGGATCTAAGGAAGGAAACACTGTGTGCCAGCAGCCCACGGCAGCCCTTCCTCGTCTGCCAGAGACATGTCAGAGCAGCCTACATAGCAGTCCCTGGGGAGCCTGGGTAACAGTCCCAGGGAGTGGGATTCATACAGGCAAGGCACAGCATTGGCCCTGGCTTGGACCTTCATTCTCCATAGGAAACAGTGTCTCTAATAATGACTTCATAGATTCCATTTCTAGGACCCAGTAGGGACACAAACATTTATAAGACTCATCCAGTGAGCAAGGCCCCAAATGATGACGTCCCCACAGGCATTTATAGTTCATCCACAATTCCCAGTCCAGAGATACACCACCATTACAAGGGTAATTTTTATAATCGAGCAATGTTGCCCAGTAACACAATTCACGTTTCATCTTTATTGAGTTTCCATGGTAACCTGTGTTACTAGAAAGTTAGCCCAAGGTCAAGTTTGTCCTTAGAAAAGGAAGAAACGTTTATGAACACCTTACCCAGAGGGTGAGCAGGGAGGGAGGAAAGGGAAAAAACAAGATTCCTTCATTCATTTTCCCTTTCTTCTACTTAGATATCACATTCTTCAATGGGATGTTTAAAAATGGGGAAAATGTAGCCGAAATTTTTGGTAAGTTAAATCTGAAATTATTTTTATCCGTCAAGTGCCATGGCATAGAGTATGTGTGAGAAAACTAAGAGAATTACCAGGGCCTTGGTCTCTACCCTCCCCGCCAGCTCCCAACTTTGACCCAGGTGACAAAGACAACTTGCATTGCAGGGCGGGTCACTTTCAGAGTTGCCACCTGCCTTCCTATTCCTTACTTCATTAGTCCTGATGATAAATGAGGGACTAGCACCCTCATCTTACAGGTAGGGAAACTCAGCCTAACAGTGCAGCTGTCCTGAAAATTTTTTAGTAAAAATACATCTTTCCATAAACACACAAAACACCCCTTAGGGTGGCTTTCTCAATCAGCATAGACTCGTGTTTTCGTTCTCTGATTAGGACTTGTGGGAAGAAAACATGGAAATAAACTTTCTTGCCAATTCTGTTTGCTGTGGACTTTGGGGAAAATCCTTATCCCCGACTGATGCCTCGAACATGTCTCTGACCTTCAGTTTCTCTACTGTGAAATATAAAGCTAGCTGTTTCCTATGAAATGGCGATGACCATATAGCATCTGCCCTGCAGGGTTAATACGAGGTCTGTGGGATAAGGGACAAAGTGAATGCTTTGCAACACAGTGCACACTCTGCCAGCCTTAACTCTTGTGCCATTGACAGCACCCAGCTCAGCTTCTGCTTGCTCAACAGTTGTGGCCTTTATACCCCTTTGCTTCCTACAGTGGCTTATAGTTCCATAGTGCCAGCACTGCATCATCTGGGCTCCATTCAGCAGACTCACAGTGACTCAGATAATAGTGGTCTGACATCATCAGGACTGGTCCAGCAGCTCAACCTGGGTACCAGAGACCCAGAGGGGGGCCTTGCTCCCCTGCAACTCCAAGCATAGTGGCTTTTCAACTTCAGGCTTGGAACCTCATGACTGCATGTGGTTGCTGCAGCTCCAGCCAGCTGATCCTTATCCACATTCAAGGAAGGAGATAGGTGTAGAGCGAAGAGATCTTACATGCCTTTATTCTTTATTAGAAAAGAAATGTTTCCCATGAGTCTCTAAAAGACTTCCTCTTAAGACTTTTCAGCCAGATCTGGGTTACATGCTCAGCTGTAGACCAATCACTATTTTGGAAGCATGGGATTACCATGAACAGCTGAGAATGATCATGAAACAACCTCAGGGACTTAGGGAAAAGGTCCACTTTCCTCGAGAACTTTTCAGTTTTATTAATAAGAAAGAAGGGTTAAATGGCTCTTAGTTGGGCAAGCAACAGAAACAATGGTTTAGAACCTGCTTCCTTTCAATTATCTAGAACAGTCCTGAGCACACAGCAAGTGCTTACTGGGCTGACGAGGTGCCATCAGCCTGTAGCTCCCTTCTGGACTCCAGTTCCCAGTGCCCACGGTCCCCTCCCCCACAGACTGTCTGGGCGCCCACTTCACCTGGCTGCAGGCCGTCTTCACCAACTTCCCCATGCTGCTCCACTTTGTGAATGGTATGAAGTGCGTGGCTGGTATCTGCCCCCGGGACTTTGAAGACTATGGCTGCGCCTGCAGGTTCGAGATGGAAGGACTGCCCGTGGATGAACCTGACAGGTGAGCGAGATCCAAGGTGGGCAAGACCGAAAGGGGAGCTCAGGGGAGGCCTGGTTTGCTACCCTGGGTGGAGCACACGCATGGGAAGAGTCTGGACTTGGGACTAGGAGAGGTCTTAGTTCCACTGTCTACCAGCTGGACTGGTCTCCTCATCTCTACGTGGCACTGTAGTCTCTGGTCGGCTCTCGTTCTGGGGAGTTATTAAGATCTTGTGTTATGTCCAATACACAAATCTTCATTTCAGTGCTTCTCAAGTTCAGGTCCACCACACCAGGGATACATGATAAAACAGATTCCTGAGACCCATCCCAGATGTATTGACTCATAGCACCTTCAGGCAGGACCTAGAAGTCTGAATTTTAAAGGAGCTCCCCAGGTAACTCTTTCGGAGAATAAAATTTGAGAATTATTTTTTCATTTGGCTCAGTCCTGGCTGTAAAGAGTAAAGCAACTATCAAGGTTTATGTTTTGTTGTCAACAAACATGCACCGAATGCCAATAATATATTAACACTCTGCTTAAAATGAAGAGAGTCTTATTCTTTCTTTAAAGAGGTAAATGTCTAGCAGGAAATACAGAAAAACTGTAAGAGGCTATTAAGATGTGCTCCCTCCCTGTGTACGGGGGAAGTGCAAATTAAACAAGTGACCAACTTTTACCCATCAGAAGCATTAAGCATTAGCAAGGATATGGCAAGCAAGGACTGGGCAACAGGAGGGACATTTGGGACGTTTACCAATTGGCATTATTTTGTACTGTGAAAGTGTTAAGGCATATTACTCTGAAATCCTAATTCTCTGTCCCTTATTCACTCTGTGATCTTAAGCAATTCACTTAACTTCTTTGTACTGCAGTTCCTTCCCTGTAAGATGGATGCAATGATAATCCCCTCAGAGAATTATTATCTAGGATTAGATGACTAAATTTGGATTAAAGCGATTGGAGCTCTGCCTGGCCTACTGTGTTTCCCCAAAAATAAGACACTGTCTTATATTTATTTTTTCTCAAGAAGACACACTAGGACTTATTTTCAGGGGATGTCTTCCTCTTCACGCCAAAATACATGGCTAGGTCTTATTATCAGGGTAGGGCTTATATTTAACAAATGCATAGAAATCCTGCTAGGGCTTACTTTTTGGGTAGGTTTTATTTTCAGGGAAACACAGTAGTAAGTACTTAAGAGCAATAGTGATTGGTAGGGGAAGTAACAGTAGTAATAGGGCAGCAGTACCAGTAACAGCAGGGCTATAACAGTAGTAGTAATAGTAACAATAGTAACTATTTTACTAGGAAAACAGCAGTAGTAATAACAGTACCTGTAGCCATATTAACGTGTAGCAGCATTGGCAAGAGTAATCACGTGGAAGTGGGAATTTGAACCCAGGTCTCTACTCCATCAACCATGTCCCCACCATACTGGTATTACACCTGGTCCCAAGTCCATTGTGTGGAGTGTGTGCTGTCCTCTCCCCAACTCACGGGAGGCAGGGAAGGAGCCCCCTTTTGATACTGGTGGACAGCTTCTATTTGCCCTGGCATTTCCTCTCTAGGACTCCCTCCTTGGATGTCTTGACTCACAGGCCCCAGGATGACTTCTGGGCCCTCCCCCGAGAGCCTGTGCACGTCTTTCTTGCTGTGTCCCCAGGGTCTTCTTGATCCACTCAGCGTCCTCTGAGGAGGGTCTTTTCACCGTTCCTTTCAGTGTGGACTACAGTACCTGGCACAGAGTCGGTGCTAAACAAATTCAAAAGATATATCTCTGATGGACAAGGAATAATGACTTTGGAATTAAACAACAAATCTGTCCCACCTCCCCACCCGCAAAGGAGGGTGTAAATGATTCTGGACCAAAAGAACAGTTTTCCATCCTAGGGGCCGTGAGCACGCTGACTCCAGAGCTCGCTGGGGTTCAGAAAGGAGAGGTGCTTTTGTACGGCACTTGGGGCCAGGGCCATCTGGGAACCACGTTCTCCTTCCAGGTCTTCCCTTTGTACTTCCTTTCGTTATTAAAATACCTTGTAAATCTAGAAGCCAAGGAAATGAAGCAGCAACTTATCACTGTCGTCAACCCCAAAGGAGTAATCAGAGCACCAATGTCTTCAATTGGCAGAATGGGGGATCACACTGAATTTCAATTACTTTAAGCGTTTCAGTTGATGGGGTGATTTCCAAACTCCTGGAGGACAGGTTACTTCTAATTTGAACTTGCACGCCAGATCCCCCAAAATAATTGCTGCCATGTGCTGAAAATCTATGATGTTATAGGGTCTTTATTGATATTTACATAAATCAAAAAAAAATCTTATGAATGAGGTAGTGTGAAAAATTCAGTAGCTGGTCCCAGGTCGTCTGTACACTGGTCTGTACTGACCTCCTGTCTGCAAGGGTTACCTGACCTCCCAGGTTCAGTGTCATCTTGCTCGGTGACCTACTTTGACCCAGGGCAAGTTACAGAGCCTGTGTGCTCACAGTAACAACCACACTTGCTGCATGGGTCCATGCGACACTGAGTTAATACTCATAAAGCACTTAGAGCAGAGGCTGGGACACGGTAAGCACTCAGCAAATACTAGCTGCTGTGACAAAAGTAATACTAATATTTATCGGGGTTTTGTTGTTATTGAGACAGTCTCGCTCTGTCACCCTCAGTAGAGTGCTGTGGTGTCATAGCTCACAGCAACCTCCAACTCTTGGGCTCAAGCTGTTCTCTTGCCTCAACTTCCCAAGTAGCTGGTACTATAGGCACCTGCCACAACGCCTGGCAATTTTTAGAGACAAGGTATCGCTCTTGCTTGGGATGGTCTCGAACCTCTGAGCTCAGGCAATCCACCTGCCTCGGCCTCCCAGAGTGCTAGGATTACAGGAGTGAGTCATGGCGCCTGGCCCTCTAATATTTATCTTTATTCCTCCTGAGGAAGAGGAGTTGTCCAATTTCTGCAGCTCCTTTGCTGGCCCATTTCAGGTTCCACTGTGCCTTGCAGTCCCCATTTTAGAGTCCTGGGCTCCTGCTTTGTCCCCAGAGCATAGATTATACAGACAGGCACCCCTAGCTTCTAGCCCAAATTACCCTGGGAAAGGTGGTATTTAAATCAAGCCTTGGGAGCCTGACTGCCAGACCTTGTACCCCAGCTCTACCCCTGAGTAGCTGTGAAGGCTTCAGACAAGCTGCCTGACTCTCTGATATGGCTTCCTGATCTCTAAAATTAGGGTAACACCTCCTCACCCATAGGCTTCGGATGTGTATTAAATGTGAATCCTTAGAACATTCCCTGGAGTGAAGCTCAAAAGTCTGAACTATTATAAGTGAACATCTCCAAGACTCAGTTTCCTTGATTGGAAATGGGAATGAATAAAATTGCTTTGAAAAGAGGTGAGTAATTTGTCAGGGGTGGCAGCTGTGGCTCAAAGGAGTAGGGCGCCAGCCCCATATGCCGGAGGTGGCGGGTTCAAACCCAGCCCCAGCCAAAAACTGTTAAAAAAAAAAAAAAGAGGTGAATAATTTGTCCAAGACATATCACTAGCAGTCGCTGGAGCCAGGGTTCTGATCTGGACCAGGACAGGCCCAGTCTTCACTGTCTCCTGCACACTCAATCCTGAGGCTGAGCTCCAGGGGGCTGGCAGGGGTGATGTAGACCTACCATCTGATGCTTGTGAGGAGGATGGGGGGGTCCCAACCCTTCCCTCTATCACACCAGAGAGAGGCTTCCAGCTTGGGGTGTCATCTGAATGTAACCCACATGCCTCCTCCCAGGCCAGGGCCACATTTAATCTGCCACTCCCCTCCCTGGGTTGGTCATGAGATGTTTTGAATTCCGCATGAATCTAGCCAGGACCTGGGAGCCTCAGCACTCTCCTCAAGCTAGCAGAGATCTCCATTTACACGAATGTGGGGTAACGTATGTACATGTCCCCTCTTCACACCTTTGTCCAGCTCTGACTTTGTCTGCGTGTGGGCAGCTGAGCACCTATATTGCCCAACCATTATGCTATGTCTACTCCTTGCCTGAGGCCTGGGGCAGAGTTGGTGTTCCACAGTGAATGGAGTTAGCCCTTCACCCCCACTAACGTGCTAGGTGACCTTGTAGCAGTCACTTCCCTCTCTGGGCCCTGAAGTCCTTGTTTCAACAGGTGTGAGAAGCTGCGTGTTCACACCAAAGTGCTGCCCTTTGTGTTCTTCTTAATAATGTTGCCGGGGGTAAACCAAACTGCTCTGTGCAAAATTCTGGCCGGACTATTAAGGGACTGGGTCCAACCCATGTCTTTATATTTGGTTAATTTCTTCTCCGGCAAAATATGTGGGTTTATCAATCCCCTCTGCCCATAAAGAGCAATCACAGGCACCTGCCATGGATTGGAGAAGAGATAGATTGTTCTGTGACACAGAAGCCATCTGTCCCATCAGCTGCCTTGTGCACCACACGCAGGGGTTCACGCACAGGATGGGGAAGGGGTGACATTCACCACTCTCTTCTTAATGATCTGCATCTTCTTCCCACTGGCTATATCATTGCTGGGGTCTATGACCATGGCCCTGATGATTTACAGGTCAATTTCTTTATGAAGTATTGGCCCTGAACATGTCCTTGGCCTCGTTGTCACTGGCCAGTCCAAGCAAGTGATAAGTTGCTCTGCCCAGCATAAGCACATGGGGTGGGGTAGAGAAGTCAGCCATTGCATGATGAGGCCAGGCAGGGGGACAAGAGAGGATAACAAGAGAGGACCACTGCTGGTTAGGACAGTGGTGAGCCCCACAAAGGACAGTGACAGGGAGCAGGGACCAAGGAGCACCCAAAGATTTAGTGTCCCAATGCAGAGCAGGACATGCCCAGTCCTCACCTTCTGCTGAGCCTTCTTCATGCTAAATCATAAGACTGAGCTCCTTGGGGCTGGGTAGGGACAATGTAGACCTGTCATCTGAAGCTTGCAAGATAGCAGATGGCAAAGTGTGTGTGTGGCGGGGGGGCATGGAGTATTTGAGACAGAACACCACCAGGAACCACCTAGAGACACAGTGTGATCCTGGGCTGCCTGGCCTCCCCTCACCCCTCCCATACTCTCACCTTGTCTCTGCCGTAGCTGTTGCTTCCAGCACCGCAGGTGCTACGAGGAGGCCGCTGACATGGACTGTCTACAGGACCCTGCCAAGCTCAGCACAGGCGTCGACTGTGTCAACAAGAAGATCACATGCGGTGAGCATCTCCAGGCTTCCCCTGGGGCTGGGCCAAGACACGACAGGGCAGGGATATAGACCTGGTCCATCCACATCATCATCGCCACTGGCAACATCTCTGTCTGCACTTAGAGCCCCATGAGGGCTGGATCCCGGGTTCTGTACCTTGCATGGAGTATATGTACCATAAATGTTTTTGAATTGAAATGATGGTCAATCAGCAGGTTATTTGACTTCTAATTTTATAATTGTTGCAGCCCCGAGAGCTTAAGAAGACTCACTAGTTTGCTGCTTATGCACTGTGTGACATTGGGGCAATTACTTAATATCTCTGCACCTTAAGATGGGGAGGAGAAACTACTTCAGAGATTTGCTGTGAAAATTAAATGAAACAGGGTGGCCCCTGTGGCTCAAAGGGGTAGGGCGCTGGCACCATGTGCCAGAGGTGGTGGGTTCAAACCCAGCCCCGGCCAAAAACTGCAAAAAAAAAAAAAAAAAGAAAGAAAAAAATGAATGAAACAATGCCTGTGGCGTGGTTAGTGCAGTGGCTGATACGTGTTAGGAACTCAGAGATAAAGGGCTGGGGAGCTGGAAGCAGCAGTGGGGGGTTAGGCTTGTGGTGGTTGTCATCTATAGGAATTAGAGACACGTAGGTTCAAATCTCAGTTCTACATCTAATTCCATGTGTGACTCCATGAGTTTTATTTCATGTCTCTGGCAATCCGGCAGACGTGGAATAAGGGCCTGGAGGGCAGAGGGAACACAGCCCGTTGGGTGTATGTTAGTTCCATCCTCTCTGTGTGCTCCCATGTACTACAGTGACTCAGATCTTCCTAATCGCCCTAATAGATGGGGCCGTTTCTTGTCGCAATTTTCAGGCAAGAAAAGGAGAGCACAGAGAACTTAAATAGCTCAGCCAAAGTCATAGATTTGTGAAAGGGAGAGTCAGGATTTGAACCCAGGTCCAAGTGACTCTCGGGTCCAGCTAACATGGACTAGCCAGAGGATAGAGCATCAGAGAAGGACGGATGGGAAGACCCGATGTGAACCACTCAGAGAGTTACACAGTGAACATGGAAGACGTGATCCATTCATTTTTTTCAGCAGATAAGGAGTGAGCACTTACACCGTGCAGAGCAATGGTCTCAGTGCTGGGGGCAACCAGACCTTCCAGAATGTCCTCACAATAGCAGACACTGAAGTATCCAAAGCAAATTGCATAGAAAGAGCACTGGAAAAAATAAATGAAGGAAAAGACACAGGGAGGGTTGGGGTGGGGGTTCCTGTTTAAGCAGGAAGGTCACAAAAAGCCTCCCTGAGACAATGAGAGTCGATTAAGGACTTAAAGAAGGGGCTTGAAGTGATCCTATGGAGAGGAGCTACATGGGGACAAGAGCCACGTAGGGATGGGAGCCACGTAGGGGAGGAGCCACATGGAGAGAGGAGCCACATAGGAGAGGAGCCACATGCAGACAGAAGCTGCAGACACAATGGGCCCTTTGGCACCTAGTGTGTTTGAGACACAGTGGGGCAGTGAGAAAGGAATAGGATGGGGAGGGTGTGGAAGAGGATGGGACCTGGGAGGGACAGGGGACCTGCCATGTGACATTTGCTGGGCTGCAGTGAGACTTGTACTCTGAGATGGGAGGACAGTGGAGCATTCTCAACAGAATATGGACATGGTTTGACCTGACTTTGAAAAGTTGTTCTGCCCTTGAGGGACTGGGCAGCAGGGAGGAGCAGGGAGACTGGCTAGGAGGCCATGACTGTAACCCAGCAGGAGACGGGGGCTCGGCCAAGGATGGGAGGGTGGAGACGAGGACATGTGGGCAGGCTCTGTGTCACAAGTAGAGCCGACTGGGTCACTTGGAGAACTGGGCGTGAGTGTGACAGAAGAGGAGCGGACACAGCCCCAGTTTGGGTCCACTCAACTGAAGAGATGGAGCTGGGCTGAGTGAGGCTGAGAGGCTGCAATAGGAGCGGGCTTTTGACAGGCTCTCCGGCCTAGGACTTTCTTACCTGTTGGGATTCCAAGTGAGATCTTTCCAGCCTTCTCTGCCTTTGCGCTGTGCAGAGTCTAAGGATCCTTGTGAGCACCTGCTGTGCACCTGTGACAAGGCGGCCATCGAGTGTTTGGCTCCGACCAGCATCAACTCTTCCCTGAACCTTCTGGACAGCTCCTTCTGCCTGACTCAGGCTCCAGGTAGGAAGACCCGGGCCAGCGTCAGCAGAACGGTGAGACCTAGTGCTCGGGGTGATCTGGGCAGGAGCTGGTTTAGAGTCTATCATGGCTTCAGATGCCGAATCCAGCATCTTCAAACATCGCCCCATTCCACTGCCCTAAACAGACTTTCCAATGCATTTTCTTTTAGAGGCAACCAGCAGGGAAGAGCTGATGACACTTCTGCCAAGAGGTAAGACCTCCCAGGAAAACTGGCTCCTACTTGGACCACAGGGCTCAAATGGTGACCAGGGCTGGAGGGTGAACTTCCTCCACCTGGGCTGCCTCCCAGAGCTAAAAGGACACACTCCTGCCTCCCCTGCCTGGGAGATGCAATTACTTCTGATAAACCCAATTCAAACACCCAACAGCAAATGGCCTCACAGCAAACTCAGCCTCTTGCTACATGGACAGGTGTCCATTTAATCCAGTGAGAGTGTAGACTCCAAGTTTTTTCTCTCTTTTTTCACTCCACAGTCAGATCCTTGTATGCAGTGTGACAGGAGGAGGACCTTGTGCTCAGATGGATCGAGGCCCCTCCCTGCTGACTGAACCCCTGGCTGCCTCTTTCCCTCCCCTTGCCCCTCCTCCACCCATTCTCCAGAGCCTGCTGCTAACAGAGCAGCCTGGGTCCATGTGGACACTCTGTGAAGGGAAGCCTGTTTTCCATGTGTCTCTTTTCAGGACAGGGTAGGCACCTAGTAACTGTTCACTTAACTAAGCAAGTGATGCTTCTTACTCTAAAATGTGGACCTTAGAAAAAAATGGGAGGCTTATGCCTGCCATTCCTTGTTCCCCAAAGTTTCCACGATCTCTCAGTCCCAAGACCTTTGGGCATCTGGAATGGGAAAGCGAAGGTGAGCCTCAGCAGAGCATCTCTCCTGGGCTGGGGTCTCTGCCCGAGGAGTGATAGTTAAAGAGGAAGCTAGTGTGTTTGTACATGCATGTGTGGTACACACGAGTGTGCATGGGTGCGTGCATAGGGGTGTGTGTGAGCATGAGTGTGTGTGTGTGAGCATGAGTGTGTGTGTGCACGAGTGTGTGTGTGAGCATGAGTGTGTGTGGGTATGTGTACACATGGTATACCCCAAGGTATCTTGTCAGTGCACTGCTCTTTTTTTCTTTGCCACCCAACCTCCCTTTTGAACAGAGGTCTTCTTAAGTTGGGACACCTTCGGGGTGTACAACTCCTTCATTGGCATCCCCCTGTGTCCAGTAGAGTCACTTTCTCCCCAGCACCCAGCAGTGGCTGTGCTCTCCCCTGAGCTGGGAACTTGCAGGGAAGCCCATGTTCTTGGAGGCGTAAGACAGGATGGACAGCTCTTGTGGGCACTCTTTCCCAGTCTGCTTCTTCCCTTGGTCCAGCAGTCCCCAGGCTGTTTGTCTTTGAGACCCTGGGCTGGTCTTGACACCGTGTGGCATCAGCCATTGCAAGTAATGACTCTGATCTCTTTTTCCAGTGGTTCCTGGGGAGCCCACAGAAACCAGCCTGACAGCCCTCTCAGGAGAAGGTGAGCTGAAGAGGGCTGGGGTGCAGTCCAAATGCCCACATCCTGATGGTGGCATTTGCCAACAAGCTGGCATGTAGCTCCCCTAAAGTGTGCCCTGCTGGCTCTGTTACAGAGCTGCTTCAAGTGTATTCCAGAGCTGCCCCTAGTTCTTCCCAACCCCCCAGTCTCTTCTCTACCTCCTCAGCTTTCTCTCATACTCCTGTTCCCACCCTCTGGAATTTCCAGATAAAAAGCAGGCTACCTATCCATTAAAGTTGAATTTCAGATGAACAGCAAATATTTTTTGGTACAAGTATGTCCTAAATATTGCATGCAGGACCCTTAGAGCACTCTGCAAGCCACCTCCCCAGAAGTTTGTTTCCTTTCCTTGCTGCTGCTGCTGTTGGAAGCAGAGGCCCGAGGTACTACTTATTCCTGGCTGGCCTCCACGTGGCCAAGGGCATCTCACTCCCAACAGTCCCAGATGCCCAGGCCTTGGGAACCAGATCCAGAGAGAAGAGAAAAGGTCACCTCCCCCCAAAGAAAGTTCCTCCATAATTGCCTGCCCAAGCAGGGACCATTCCCAGCATGATTGACAGTGCCAACTTACATTCTATTTTGGGCAAATTGTTGGCTTGGGAATATACAGTGAGCTTTGTGACCCCATTAGACAGTCATGAAATGAACCTAAGTTGGTAAATTCTCCAAAATTTGAGTTCTTAAACTTTACCTGCCATCACTTGGCAGCATGAAGAAAGGATAGTATTTATCCCTGGGAACAAGGCGGGAATCAGGGTCCTTGAGGAGTCTAGAGTCTAACTGGAGACAGAGGGGATGGACACCCCCCCACACACATACAACGCACCAACACACATCCATGACTTGGGCAGTGCAGACAAGTGAAAAAACCTGTGAAAAGAGATGATTACATCTATTTTTTAGGGTGGCATAGTGATTAAATGAGAGAGAGCATGGGGAGATTCTGGACCAGCATCTTCTCCCCAAAATTCAGATGTGACTATAAAAACAGCACACATCATCAAATCCTACGCAGAAAATGGACAACTTGCTTAACAATCTCATCTCATGCTAGTACAAGCTTATGGAATGATAGCTATAAAATTCATTTTAAGATAGTTGATTGAGACTCAGCGATAAGTTGTTTAAGACTCAGAGCTGAGCAGAGGGCTGGGGCTGGAAGCCTCTGACACTTCCATTCTCACTTCTACTTTTTTTTTTTTTTTTTTTTGAGATAGAGTCTTACTTTGTTACCCTGGGCAGAGTGCTGTCACGTCATAGCTCACAGCAACCTCAAGCTGTTGGGCTCAAGTGATCTTCCTGACTCAGCCTCCTGAGTAGCTGAGACTACAGAGGTGCACCACCATGCCCAGCTAGTTTTTCTATATTTATGTATTGATTGATTGACTGATTGATTGTAGTAGAGACAGGTATTGCTTTTGCTCAAGCTGGTCTTGAACTCTTGAGCTCAAGCAGTCCACCTGCCGTGGCCTCCCAGAGTGCTACCAAACTACCTCTCATGTTGCCTTCCCATAAGGACATGATCCAACTGGGGAAACCAATGACCCTGCACTCCCAAAGATGGTGTTTGCTGGTCTTTCTACCTAAATGCAGACCTGCCCTGAGTCTGGCCTCTTATCTGCTGGGTTGGGACCTAGCTGAGCAGCCACATTCCCTGCTCAGGTGCCCTGGGTCTTCTCCCCTTCAACCCTGTTTCCTCTGAGTGGCTTAGGCACCCAGCTGGGTGGATAATTGATGCTGAGTGGTTTCTTTTCACAGTGGCTACAGAGACCAAGGCTGATGGACTGACCAGTCCCTCCAGGACAAGTAAGTACAGGGACCTTCAAAAGAGGACAGCATGGATTCTAGTGGAGAAATGTCACCTAAATATTTGTGCTCAGTGCTGGTGACCGCTTCTTGACAGGGCCTGGAGGAAATACTAATATACCCATTTCACAGAACAGGTAGGAAATAGGTCTATGAAGAATAAATGTCCTAAGTGATTTTGCTGGACTGGTCCCTAGGCCTAGACTGCAGGCTGAGAGACTGTCTCCCCTCCATTAGAGACTGCCTCCACTCCATTGGAGTTCCATTTCCCCAAAAATATCTAGGCTACAATTTCAGCACTGGAATTAGCCTAACCCATTACTCTGCTTGTGGTGATTAATAACCATGGATTCTTTGTTAATAAGTATAAGTAACTGACAATTTTTTACTAATTACTAGGAGTTAATAAATAAGTAAATGGATGATTTGGTTAAAGGGCAGCAACATTGTTGAGGGTCTCAGCTGTGCCACTTACTCCTATGCCCCCTACACATGTTCTCTATGAGTTATCTTTCCTGGTCCTAGGAGGCCTCTTATTGTCCCGATTTTACAAACAAAAAAGATGTTCCAAGAGGTGCAGTTCAAAGTCTATAGGTCTTACTTTTGAAGAGAACAATCGGTCCCCGTTAGAAAGGTCTAGATTCTCTCTTTAACAGAGCTTTGGTGTCTACATCAGTAAAGTTCAAAGCCCGGTTTGGTGTCGTATGACACCATCCTAGTCTTGACTTTTGAACACAGAGAGTTCCTTTCCTCCCAAGAAATTGTTTAGTTACCACCCCAAGCTCTTTGTGGTACACCCAAGAAATGCGACAACAACCCAGCCTGGTAGCTAAGAGGGGCACCTTCAGCCTGGCTGCCAGGGTTTGCATCCTGCCACTTCCTAGCTCTGTGACCTTGAGCCAGTGGCCTAACTTTTCCATGTGTCTCTTTCCTCATCTGAATGAGGATGACCCCAGTGCTAACCATGGGCCCTCGCTGCTGTATCTGGTGTGGGAGGCACTTAATGACTGTTAAGCAACGGCAGCAAGCTTGTTTTACAGAAAGACCAAGGTGCAACCGTTCTCCTGGAGTCACAGAGCAAACCAACCACATAACCTGCTGCCTCTGCACTGCACACTCCTCTGTTCAAAATGTGATTTTAGTTTAGTTGTTTTTCCTTCTTGATTCTAGAGAGGCTGGCATTCCAAAAGTACAGGTGTTCCAACAAACTCACCTACTTCCAGCCCTGCTTACTGTCCCTGCAACTGCCAGCAAGCCTGTATCGGGGTTCCCCTGTGGCTCAGCAGTGACCCTAATATCACCAGGGAGGACATCTCCCAGGGGCAGGCAGGCCAGGGCAGCAGGACGAGCTTGCCCAGTGGGACAGGAGGTGCCTCAGGGAACCACGGTGGGACCTCTTGAGGTTGAAGCTCACCCTGCCTCTCTTCTTTTGGGGCAGAATTAGGCCAAGATGAGGAAGGGGCGGAAGCTGCCAGGACCACGGCCCCTCCAGGTAAGCTCGCTCAGCTCCTCCTGCCTACCTATGTCCATATATCACTATGCCCAGTATGTTTATGAAATCATGAGGCTTTCACATGACGCTTGGGACCAAACGCAAAGGAAAAGAAATCACTGACGCCAATTTAGCTTCGCATCTCCCCTCAACAACAAAGTACATAAATGAAGTTAAAAACCATTTTTCAGGAAGAAATAGAAACTTATCTGGTAAAGAGATGAGTACAGAAAACTGTATTTAATTTTCCATTTACTTATTTATTTATTTTTGAGACAGAGTCTTACTATGTTGCCCTCAGTAGAGTGCCCTGGCATCACAGCTCACAGCAACCTCAGACTCTTGGGCTTAAGCGATTCTCTTGCCTCAGCCTCCCAGGTAGCTGGAACTATAGGCGCCTGCCACAATGCCTGCAATTTTTTGGTTGTAGTTGTCATTGTTGTTTGGCAGGCCTGGGCTGGATTCGAACCCGCCAGCTTCTGTGTCTGTGGCTGGCGCCTTGGCTGCTTGAGCCACAGGTGCCGAGCCTAGTTTTCCATTTAAATTATTTGTAATTCCACAATATAGGAAATAGACATGCTTCCTGCTGGGCTAAGAAAGGACTGCTTAATCCCGCAGTATAAAGGAGAACAACTTTTAGTATTGTATGTCTTCTAGCTTCTTCCCTCACTAAGCACACTCATGAGCATAAATAAAATGTGCGAGCACTCGCTAGCCATGATTTTGTAGCCTGAGCTGTATTGTTAGTACAAAGTGCCGCTGTTCTCCCAACATTAAATACGTCTCTGGAGCATGATGTTTAGTGGTTATATGGTAATTCCTTAACTGGAAACGTAATCTACGGAAACAATTATTTCTAACACTTTGTCATTATAAATTATAGATATATATTTCCTTATGCCCTTCCACTTCTGATTAATTCGTTGGGATAAAAGTTTAGAAGTTGAATTACTAGATAAAGGGCATAATCATTGTAGAGCTTTTGGTATGTTGCGAATTTGGCCTTGAGAAAAAATGAACCAATTTCTATTCATACATGTATTTTGGGCACTGTTATTATAGAGCAAGGAAGCAAACAAACCAAAAACCTCCATCAATTTGAATAGGGAAAAAAAGTCTCTTTTTGTCTCCCCTCTGATGAAATTGAAAGTGGTGTTTTTAATACCTGAATGAGCCCAGCTTCTCATTCTGGGACTTCTGGGTCCAATCTAAACAGAATTCCCACATCTTAACTGAATTCACAGAGGTGTGTAATCAGTGTCAGAACTAAGGCTATGGTGACTTGGGCTGACTTGGGCTGGGAGGCACCGTGACCTTCTCAGTGTGGGAGACAGGAAGGCCAAGCATCAGAGGAATTTATTCCCCAAATGGGGCAGCTGGTGCAGGAAGGGCTATTAACACCAATGCCCTCATCTAAAGGGAGCGAGGCGGGGGGGAGGGGGTCTCAAATTCGGTCAGCATGGTGGTTACCATAAAGTTCTTCCTCAGGAGCTGAGGGCTACTGCCTATTGAGACTCAGCAGGGGGGACACACGGGCTTTGGGAGTCCCTTCTGCTCGTACAGTTTTCCACCTGAGAGTCCCAACCTTAGAGCAGATGTATGAGTATTTCCCCATCACTGAGCAGTTCTAATGGCTACTACCAATTATTTCCTAACTGCTAGACATTTAGCAAGAAGGATTATTCATACACCCAAAGAAGTATTATCAATTTAATTTTACAAAGGGAGAAATTAAGTTTGAGAGAAGCTAAGAGATTTGCCCAAGGCATGCATTGGGTATAAGTCTGAGCTGAAATGCCAACTTACATCTTTTCAATTCTAATTCCTTCGTCTCTACAACACTGACTTGGTGCCTTTTCAGCTGTCAGGAACAGGATAGAAAGAAGCTGGTTAACTGGCTTCTGTTTGTGGCATTGAAGAGCTGGGCAGGATGCTAATCTAGGAGACTCAGGCTACCATAGGGGCTTAGTTCCAGAGAAACGGGAGCATTGGAAAAGAGGAGGCAGGAGACCCAAGGCTCAAAGCAAACCGATACTCAGCAGGTACCAGGATGCCAGGCCTTCCAGCACACAGAATAGAGCCTGGCTCAGCAGGTGGCTGGGCTGTGCCTGCTGATGTCCCCTTCCTGGACCACTCTGGGCTGGAGATTTGGCATGTGGGTTGGAAATCTCCCTGCCTCATGCTAAGAGGGCAGGTGGGACGACACACCAGAGCAAAGGGAAATCCAGAGAGACAAGACAGTAAGTCGTAGAGGGAGGCAGGGCCGGGTCACAGGCAAGCCTTGCAGGCTGCAGGAAGAAACTTGCACTTAACTCTGAATACAAGAAACCATCAGCACTTGAGCAAGGAAACCAAGGGGTGTGAGGAGGAGTTTCACTTGTCTACGTGACCATCTACTGTGAGTTAGCCTGACTTCTCCACCGTTCTCTTTACCTCTATGCTTGCCATGAGTATCCCGATGGATCTTCCCTGCACAGCCCAGGCACAGGGGTGGCAGGCTGGGACAGCTCTCAGCCATGAGATGCCACCCTCCAGCACAGGCTCCTGCCTGTGTTAGGGTTATTATAGAAAATCTGGAAATTCTCACATGGACTTCATGGGTCCCTGAGAATCTGCTCTGTGTCTGCAAACCCAGTTGGAGGAGGATCTCCTGCTGCCGTGGTATTCCGAGGTACCCGTCTGCATATGGCCTTGACCATGCGTCCATCTGCACAGCTCTCCTTGAGCCACTTTTTCAAAGTGAACCATGAAGTTTTGCATTTTCAGGATCTGCAGAGATTGTTGCCACAGCTAAAGGGGTAACCCTTGTCCCTGTTGGTGTTAAATCTTTGGGGCCGGTGGTGTCATCTGCTCAAAGTGGCCCTGAGGAGACAGCTGGAAAAGGTAAGTGAGGCAAGCAGCCAGATGAGTGCCCATCCCTCCTGCCCTGGGATCCTTGGGGTAGGTGTTCACAATGCTCCTGAGGCCTTTCTTGTGACCTGCTCCTGTGCTGTGACTAGAAGGTCTCATGTCCTTTACTGGATGAACACAGTGACCTGCCTGGAGCCACAGAGCTGCTGTGATGCTCAGCCTGGGAGGGAAGTCAGGTCTTCCAGCCCTGGCCTCGTGCTCTCACCTCTCATACCAGCCCAGAAGGAAGGAGTCTGGCATCACCACACCAGGGTCTACTGGAAAGACTGAAGCATATGGGTTACAATAATCCTCCCCTTTGTCCATCTCTGCTATGATGCGACCAAAGGCTCTGCCCCTGCAGGAGCCACAGCTGGACGCAGAGGACTTTGCTAATATCTGGGCATGTCCTCCCTGGTGCCCAACGCAGAGCTCTGAAGACAGCACATTTGAAAGCTGCAGGCAGAGAAGGAAGTGTAGAAGGTGGGGGGATGGAGAGGGGATGGAGAGGGACAGAAGGTGGGGGATGGAGAGAGAGGGAGAGAGAGAGGAAGGAGACAGAGGCAGAGGAGAGAGTGGAAGCCAAGGGCTAACCTGATGTACAGAAAGCCTAAGGGGACCAGGACGCCCTGCCCCAGGGTGGCAGCCTCTATTTAGTGGTACGATGTGGCCCAAAGAGCATCTTTTATCCTGACAAGTGCTCATCCCTTAGGGAGATTTAATAAGTAGTCTGGTAGAGCATCGAAGCCTGCTCTCTGAAAGACAACGCATCCCAGACAGAGGGGTGAGCCGAACACAGCTTTTCCAGAATGGCCACCTGAGGCGTAGAGCGTGGGTTTCCTTGTACGACCTGGAGTTGTCCTCATGCAAATGGGAAGGCCTTCCCCTTGTGAAGCTCTCCTGACAGTCCTTGCTCCTAATCTTCCTAATCAGCCTGTGACAGATTCACCTTCCTGCGCCTGGGAAGTGGGGACAACATGCAGGTGATGCCTCAGCTTGGAGAGATGCTCTTTTGTCTCACGTCCCGGTGCCCCGAGGAGTTTGAATCTTATGGCTGTTACTGTGGACAGGAAGGAAGAGGTGAGCCAAGGGATGCCCTGGACAGGTACGTATGGGTGAGCAGAGGTAGTGGCGGGCAGTGGTGCTGATGCTGCCTGCACCAGCGAGAACTAGTGACCCCCCTCTTTGTCAGCAGGCGGGTTGGGCTTCATGGAGAGCTGGGCGGGCACCTTACATCATTCACAGGGGAATCTCTGGCATATATAGGCAGCTGAGGCTCAGGGGCTGACAGGCCTGAGGTCTCTCATCCAGGAATGACAGAGCCAGACAGATGCAGATCTTTTAATTTGGGAGACTGAAGCCCTTTCAGAATTTCCACAAGTACCACTAGGAGGGCTGATCTGCAGTGACCCTTCAGAGGACCCCAAGTCTGCCCATTTTGCAATGACCAACATGCCTAATTGGGTCTCTGCTTGGTTTGTCCTGCAGAAGGTCACTTTGAAATTAGCTTCTCAGCAACACTCAACGGCTACATTTTAGACTACCACTGTTGAAAGAATTTTCACCCACCTCGTGCATTCATCCATTTATTCACTCATTTTATATGTGCACTCAAACCACACTGCTTGAGCTTTTGCTCTCTGCCAGTCACAAAACTGTATGCTGGAAAATACAGGAATGATTAAACTGAGCGAAGTAGAATAAAGCAAACTGTTTATGCCCAATAGGAGCTCAAATAGCAAAAGAGATGGACTGTTAAACAGAATACTACCCAAGGTAACAGAGGCCGTAGTTGGAACAGAGTCAATGATGGGGTATTTCATCTGAGTTGATGAGGTTTACAAGGTGACTGCACATGGGGGTTGCAATGGTCCAGGGCCAGTGGGGAGGTCTGTGTGCCAAAGGCATTTGTCCTTGTTGGAAGGTGTGATCACCAAAGCAAAACCAACGGTTTTAGATGAATTTAAAAAGAAAAAGACAAAGCTTATCGTAGGTCCTAGAAAGGCCGCAGTCATGTCAGGAACACAGAGCATGTCTGCGTGGTCAGATTATGCCTGGGTGAGGGGCAGAATGCGCTCCTCACCCTCCCGCTTTCCCCCTCCTGCCTCGGCCTCCCAGTCATTCTGGTCCCCTTACCTTGCCTTCAGTGGGTTTTCCAGGAAGGTGACCTTCATCTGAACTCCCACCAGCTGACCCTTAAGAAGTTTTTACTCCAGTAAGTTATGTCACATTGTGACTCACAAGCATGTTTGCATTCTGAGTTTCAACCCTGTGCTCTCCACACTAAGACAGAATGAATTCCACAGCGTCCATAACACTGGATGAGATACAGCCAAAGATAAGAATCTAGCCAGCAGCAGTCTCTGTGTTCTGCTGAACTGTGCGGAAAGAAAGCAGAGATGATTTTCCAGGAGTTTCCTGGGAACCAGCATATTTTACAAAAATATAAAAATCTGCCCAGCCAGGAAACTGAGGTACCACACAGCTTCCTTAGTTGATACCTATGGGAAGAAATTGAACAATGAGAAGCTGTAGGAAAACATCCCTGAGAAGAAGATTCAGTCAAAGCAACGTCATTTTCTACAAGGATGCATTTTCAAAACCGTGTGTACCAATGGTGTACATATTGTCCATAAAATAATTGCAGGGACAATTATTAAGAGTATTTTGGTCCTTTGTTATTCCATTTCAGGCATTGACTTTAGATTTTAACCAGTCTGTCAGTGACCCAGCTCTCCCCTTCCTGCCCCCTTATGCTGATGTGAGCACAGGAGGTGGTGTGTTTCTCTGACTGCTGGCCGAGTGTGAAGGCTGGAAGGGAGATTCTTGGCTGTGAACAAATGCTATCAAAACGCTGCAAACATCCATGACTGATCCCTACTTGGCTGTGGTTTCCAACGTGAAGTGAGAGTTACTAACCGGCAGGGGAGAGTTGGAAAGGGAGGAGGTAGGGAGCAATTGCTGCCCCCTATTGGCTGGAGGCCATCACAAGTTTCCTAAGGATGTTCACCTGGCCGAGGGGACACTGATTCATCCTTACCTGTTCACTGAGATCCTGCTCTGTGCTGGACGCTTTTCTGGATGTGGTTCTTTAGCTCAGGATGGTCCCTTCACTTTCTTTTAAGACTCAGGACAAAAGAGAGTTCCCTGTGGATGTGGGAATCACAGTTTCACCTGAGAGGTTGGAAGGAGTGGGGTCATTGCCCGTGTGGTACTTTGGTATAAGTTTTTAAAAGGTATCCCTTATTTAAGACTCTTTCTCTCCATGTGTTAGGAAATAATTGTGATAAATTTGTAAATCACCCATCTTTGCCATCAAGTCACAATAAAAATACAAAACCAATTTTTAATAATAGTAAGATGCACACATTGTGATTGATGCTGCCTTAGATGTGGCATCTTTGCGTGCCATGCAACTCAGACAACCACACATGACAGCCCTTGCCGTGTGTGTGAGTCAGCCCTGTGTGCACCAGCTTCTCTCATACTACAGGGAATGTGGAAGAAACCAGCCTTCAGGGAGCTCCTGGGCAGCCGGGCGCTCTGCACAGTCAAGGGTTCTCCTTGGTTTTAGGTGCTGCGTGTCTCATCACTGCTGCCTGGAGCAAGTGAGGAGGCTGGGCTGCCTGCTGGAGAGGCTACCTCGCTCGCCGGTGGTGTGTGTGGACCGCGTACCCAAATGTGAGTGCTGTTGGTCGCAGTGAGTCATGACTCCGTTCAGGCCAACATCGTTGTGGTGGCTCAGGGTTATCAATACTTTCCAGGCTCTTCTTCATCTATGATGTGGTTTAATACTCTCCTTACCATGGAGGCTTATGTAATTAAGCATCTTGAACCGCTGAGGAGATTCAAGTTCTAGAGGCTAGTTGCCTGCAGTTACACAGCTAGTTAAGAGCAGACTGGGAATAACGTAAGTAGCACCCACTCCATGCTGTTCTCAGCTCTCAGTGGGTGTGGTCAGAGTTCATCCTCACACCCGTCCCATCAGGTCACTCCATCAGTCTTCTGACCTTACAGAGGAGACAGCCCAGGCCCCAGATCACACAGGTAGAAAGAAGTGGTAGAATGGAGATTTGGATGTGAAGCCACATTGCCTCAGACCTAAAGAAGACTCTTTGCCATGCCAATGGGTTTCAAAGTTCTCTTATCTTTTTTTTAAGAAGCAGAAGCCTTTTCCCAAGTGAGAGCTCATAAAAAAGGGGAGCGGCTCTGGCTGAAGGGCAAGGTGGCCTGCAGCCACCACTTCCCCCACCACCCACACCACCCTACTATCTCCCAGGGTGGAAGTCAGAGGCTCCTCTGTGGCCACTCAGGTCCTCAGGCTGCACCAGCCTGAAAACTGCCCACCCTGACATGCGCCCTGACAGCACATGGGCTGCCTTAGATCTTGCTTTATCTCAGATTCTCTGGCACCATTTCCTCATTCATATCAGTGGATGCATTTCCTTTAAGTTCTGTAGTTTAAAAGGAAATGCCCCTCCAGAATTTCACAAGAGCTCTGCAAAGCTTTGTTTTCATCCTCATTTTGGCCCCGGGAAGCCCACTGGCTAGACCTCATCCTCCTTCTTCCTGTGCACTGAGCATGCACCTCCATATTTTCTGGCCTTGTACAATCACATGTGGCTGTCACACTCCAGAGGCCGTGAGCTCAAAGGTCACTCACTTCCTTACATGTTCATTCATGTGTTCAATTATCCATTTGTCTAACCAACCTTCATGGGGACCCAGGGATGTAATGAGGCTGCACAGGTCTTGCCTCTCACTGCTCACAGCCTGGAGGTGGCGAGACAGGTGGGCGCTGACCATTCTAATCTCATGTAACGCGTGCTTCACGGAGAGTGGGTTCCCTAGGAGGTGGGTGAAGGGTCTAGAGTCTGCAGTATGGCAATAAGGACAGAAAGATTTGAGATGTCTGAAGTATGACATGAGATTTGGCAAGTGGTTAACAGGATCCCAGATGACCACTTTGGGCGTGGATGTGCCAAGCAAAGGGACTAGAGGCAAACAATGGGGTTTTGGAAATGTCTGGCAGTTTACAGACAACACGTGGCTCTGTATTGCTGGAAGAAAAAATGAACAGAGAGTGAGAGCAGGGGCCTGGTTGTGGCGCAGGGTGAGGTTGGGGAGATGGACAGGTGCCTGAACATGACCCAAAGGGCCCTGTGTGCAAGGCTAAAGCATTTACATTTTGTTCTCCAGGGGATAAGGAGCCAGGAGAGGGTTTTAGAGCCCATGAGTGACAGGATCAGAGTACTATGATTGTTGTCGTAGGATAGGATCATGACTGGAGGTCTCACCTGCTCAGCTGAAGGCTGGTTCTCCACCCCTCCAATGTCACTGAGCCCGGGAACACGGCATCTGTAGCTTGAACCCCTGTGGAGCTTCAGTGAACAGGTTCCAATGCTCCATGAGCTGTGAGCACGGTGTCCTGTACCGGAGGTCAGGGTTGGTTAGTGAGACACGAGGGCATCTCACAGGCTGGTCTGTGCTGCCCTGACCCCAAGGGCAGGGTGGAAGGAGAGACTCACACCGGGGCTCAGGGGCTGCGGACGTCTCCTCTGGGCTCTGCCAGCTCTGTGTATTTCTCCCACTGTTCTTCCTGCCTCCTGCTGCTGGAATGCAGCCGACCTGTCAGGGCTGACGGGAAGGCCAGTTTAGGAAGTTTGGAGAGGGGTGTGTGTGGTGCCCCAAGAGAAAAATCTGGCTGATGAGCTCTTCAAAGTAGGATGGAAAAAAAAATAAGACTTTTAGCATCATTGAAAACTAGATAACAAGAATAGTATTTGCAGAACGCTCATCTGTGTCCAGCACCTTCAGACACATCATGCATCTGAATCACACCACACCCACTACACGCAACTCATATACGTGCGTTAAGAAAATAGGGTGTGTTTGCCAGACTTGGCAAATGAAAACATGTGATGCCCAGTTAAATCTGAATTTCAGGTAAACAATGAATACTTTTAAAGTGTAAATATGCAGGCAACGCCTGTAGCTCAGTTGGTAGGGTGCCAGCCACGTGCACAAAGCCTTGAGCCCAAGAGTTGGAGGGTGCCGTGAGCTGTGACGTCACAGCACTCTATCCGGGGCAACAGCTTGAGACTCTGTCTGAAAAATAAAAATAAAAAAAGTATAAGTATGCCCTCCATGAGCACACTGTCAGCCATATTATCTGAAATTCAAATTTAAGTGGCCATTCTGTATTTTATTCTGGCAATCTTAAAAAGGAGTACACAAGAATTTCTACTTGAAAAATGGGGAAATACTGGCTTAGAGAAGGGAGGAGTAACAGATCCAACACATATTCTCTGAGCACCAATTTGGGAAATATTTGTGTAGGACTGAGTGATGTGCTTGGCCCCGTGGGCTCTGCCATCAAGGTTTTCTGTCCAGAAAGAGGAAAAACAGAAACAGATGATGACAATATGATGTCATTAACACATAACCTGAGGTAAAAGAAAGAGCCTAAGGTAGGATTTGATGGGAACCCCCTTGCTTAGTCTAGGGGCTGGGGAAAGCTTTCTAGACTCCAAGCTGGCCTTGACAGACAAGTAGGCAGTAACCAGAGGAAGAAAGGTGACAACAGAAAATTGGTAACATTCCCTGCAGATGAATCATTACCAGCAGGAGGAGAGAGTTGGGGTGTTAGCAGCAGATGCCAGGTGGAAATACAGGAGATGGGCTGGAAGGGGCAGCCAGGGATGTGGGGGCCTTCCTGTGATGCCTGATGTCTGCTACCCTGCTCTTGTCCTCGAAGGTGGAGGGCAGAGCCTGTGCCAGAAGCTGCTCTGTACCTGTGACCAGACAGCAGCCGAGTGCATGGCCTCTGCCTCCTTCAATCAAAGCCTCAAGTCCCCGGGTGGACAGGAATGCCCTGGGGGGCCAGTGGCCTGTGAGGACGGCCTGCGTCCGGGGTCCTCGGCGCCTTCCCTGGGCTCCAGCTCGGAGGAGAACAGTGAGGAGGCCCCGCCCCGTGCAGAGGGCCACAGGAGAGCCAGAAGGTTCCTACGGAAGTCATTCAGTTCTCTGGGGATCAAGCCCCTCCGTGGAAGACAGACTCCCAAGGCCAATGGCAAGCACACCTAGCAGCCAGCCCCCGCTCCACCTTTGCCTCCTTGACCGTTGGCCTTCTCTGCTGGCAGAGGTGTGGAGGGAATCGAGGCAGTGAGGCCCTGCTCTACACACCTGTCACCTATGGGTGGCTCACCTGCCACGGTGCATTGGGAGAAGGCACACCACGGGCACCGCTGTACTTCCTGTAGCGCATCATGGAAGCTCAATAAATATCCCAATCAATGTGATTTGTTTTCTTTGTAGAAACTGATCATGAGTAGATTGTAAAGGTGAGACGACAGAGATAAGGAACACAAAAAAACTCAACAAAAAAGCTCAACTCCTTCATCAATGAAAGCTACTTTTGCTTTTATTGAAAAAAAATATAGAAGGGTGTATGTTCAGTCTTATTAGAAGAGGTCACCAATAACCCACCAATTATTTATTTATGCCAATGACTGACTGAGATGAAAGCTCTGGTTTGTACCCTAAAAATACACATGGCATCCCAGTTGTTATGAGGGTGAGTGGCCATGTGCCACAGCCTCCACCACCAAGTCCACACCTTGATTTTTAAAAAACAGAGTTTATCACAGGAAGTGCAAATGCGCACTCTGACTCAGGCAGTTCAATGTGCCGGCGATTGTAAAAATCTGAAATTCCACCCACCCACCCACCGTTACTGAGATTCTGTGGTGTACCAGGGAAAAAGCGACGTGCTACCAGAACCACCTAAATATTTGGGTTTTTTTTTCTTTTTTTTAATTAAGTTATATATACATAGATCATGAATATATTTATGCCTTTGTGGGATTCAATGTGATTATTTGTACAAATTGGAGTGCTGACATCCTCCTAATTAACGTAGCTTTCACCTCATTTACTTAATCACAGTGTTAAGACATTTGTGCTTAAATATTTGATAGGGATATAAACCCTTCGGTTCACATCAGGTTTGTGGGTCTCAAGCCCCACACATCCTGTGTCCTGTGGTGAGATCATGTCAAGCCTCTACCTGCCCCTCAGAGAGGGCAGAAAGCAGAGCGTGGGAAGAGTTTACAGTTTGCTGACTTCCTCAGAGGAACAGAAAGATTCTGTAGTTGACACCACCTTAAGAATCAAGAAGTCACGGGGCCAAAGCAATAGCTGATATCCTCCCCCACCTCCTGGGCAGTGTTTGTTAACCTTTTTTTTATCTCATGGCACACTTGAACCCTGAGTTAAATTTTCCTGGCACACTTAAATTATGTTGATCATTAAAAAAAAGAATGAAAAAAAGAATATACTTACTGTGCTTTGAGCTTCTTTTGAAAATAATTAGTGACCTTTAAAAATTTTTCACAGCACACCTAAGATCCTCTCATGGTGTCAGTGTGCCAATGGCGCGCAGGTGAAATCAGTGTTCTGGGGAGACCATGCCGTGGTGAGCATCTTTTGTGAATGCAGCACACTGGAATCTTTCCAACACTGTGACCCCAACTAACAGCCTGAGCTCAGGTTCTCCCAGAAGGAAACCCTTAAACAAGGAGGGCAAGGAGTTTATTTAGGAGGAGAAGTGAATGAATGAAACAGGGAAGGAAGCAGCTAAGAATAATGCATCATCATCAAGGCAGTCAGCACTGTGCGGGGTGGGGTGAGCGAGAGAGGGAGGGTGGAGGAGAAAGAGACAGAGACCCCCAATGGCATTTGCTGCAACTAATGAATTGCTTTCTGGATGACTTTTTCTTTCCTTCCTGTAATGCCGAGGAATTTACAGGAATGGAAGATTCCACTCCCCAGCAGTCACTGTGCTAGGCCAGCTACACTGTGATGACCATCTGCCTTCTCCACATTTTCACCTGAGGCAGCTGAACGTGGCTGGATGAAAAATGCAACTGAGCTGACCCATTTCACTTCAAGTTCATGATCACGAATCCTCAGAGGGATGTTCAATCTTTTCCTAATAAGTCGACTCTTCTGCTCTCCAAGACAATTGTTTGGTGCCTTCTCTGCTCTCCCAACCCTCCACACCTTTCCCTCACACTCACTTGATGGCTGTCAAAAACCTGGAAGGGTTGGAGATTTTACTTTACAATCTAACAAGTTAGTCTACATTTCACAGATGCTAGTGAAAGACAAGCTACTTTGTCAGAGACATAGGACTGCATTACCCACAGCCATGGCAGTAACCTGAGTGTCAGTGGTAACCTGAGGCGATGCAGAAAGGGCTGGGGACACTTACACGCATAGTGGCTCTTTCTTTTAGGGACTCACAATCTTCTATATTCCCCTGTAAGCCTGCCTAGACTTTATTCCAGAAGGCGACATTATCTTTTTTATTTGCAGTTTTTGGCTGGGGCTGGGTTTGAACCCACCACCTCTGGCATATGGGGCCAGGGCGTTACTCCTTTGAGCCACAGACGCCGCCCAGGAGACATTATCTTTATGATACAGGGCAGTAAGTATGTCTGCACTTGGTTCCCAAGGGACATACTGTACCTTCCACCTGTTAGTCATAACACATCCTTGAAAAGTTAGAACAAAGGCAAGGAGCATCTCTGTTCCTAACACACACAGAAATGCAAAAGGCACGTGGAGAGCCCTTTAGCACAATGACCTCACCTGATACGCTGCTGGGAGAATTAAAGCTTTCCAGCAGGAATGTTCTTTCTCATCTTCCTGCCATCAAAGCCACAAAATTGCCTGCTTCGTGTTTCTTTTCCTTCTTGTTATGATAAAGTAAGTGTTGCTTCTCCTTATCAAAGGCCAACTCCTCCACCTGTGCTCTGGCAAAATGCCCTTTGCCTTCTCCAGGGTTCGATTCTTGCAAAGGTCTCCTCTTCCTTCTCTATCAGCTTCTCCCTCTCCTTCTGTATGATTCTAATCACCATGGACACATCTCCCATCTATAAACACCCCTCTCTTGACTCTATAATCTGTTCCAGATGTCACCCCATTTCTTTATTCATTCTACTAAGACAACTTGGTTATACCCCCTGCTGTCCTCTCCGTCGAGGAAGCTGCTCCTGTCAAGGTTCCAAATACTTTCCATGTTGCTTGAACCACTGACCATGTCTCTGTTCCCACCTTCCTCTTCCAGCACTTGCCACAGCTGCCCACTTCTCCCTTCACGGACCTTTCCCTCCCATCGGCAATGACTACACAGTGAATAGTCTCCTTTCCATCTTTTTGTTTATTTGCCCTCACTCTTCTTGCTTAATCATTCGCACTCCTTTAGCCACCCTCTAAATCAGGTGTCCTCAAACTATGGCCCGTGGGCTGCATGCAGCCCACCTGGGACATTTATCCAGCCCGCCGGGTATTTTTGCCGCTGCTGCCTGTTCTGCTTAGCAGCCAACTTGTCCCTGGGCCCACAGCCTGGCCCTCCAATGGTCTGAGGGACAGTGAACTGGCCCCCTGTTTAAAAAGTCTGAGGACCCCTGCTAAATGTCGATGTATGTCAGGCATGGTTAAAGAAAAATTTTGCCCCAGTTGTTTTAAAAATAGACATTCAGAATACTGCAGAAGGGGAGAGACCTCTGTGCAACTTGAGCTCAGCTCTGCCAAAACATACGTGTACAATAGAGTATTTTTAAAATTATTATCCTGGCGGTGTCTGTTAGACCTCCAGAACTTACTGATCTTGCATAATTAAGACTTTGTATGTAACATCACCTCATTCCTCCATCTCCTCAGCCTCTGGCAACTCCCATCCTACTCTCTGCTTCTGCTGAGTCGGACTCCTTTGGATTTCCCTTATCTGTGAGATCATGCAGTATTTTTTGTGTCTGGTTTAATTCACTCAGCATAAACATCATGAATATGCTCCAACTCCATCTGTGTTGTCTCAGATGGCAGGATTTTCATCTTTTAAAGGTTGACTAATATTCCCTTGTGGTGTGTGTGTGGGACCTGCTTAGTTTTTCCTTCTTAAGTCACCACTTTGCATTCCTTCTCCTCCCTAGGCCCATCTTGCAGGCTGCAGAGAAAGGAAAGGGACAGTCCCATTCTGCTCCGGGCAGGCCAGAGTGAGAGGCGTTGACTTCTAAAGATCCTTCCAGTTCTCACATGTTGTGACTCAGTAAAATACTCTTCATAGCACAACTGTCAACTGAATCATAAAAAGCTAGAGCTGGAAGAGAATTTAAAAGCAATATTTTCCCAGAGGTTACAGGATGCTGAGGGCAATTCCTCCCTCCATAGTACAAACCAATCAGGGGTGGAGAGAAATAAAGATTTTCTTCCATTTTTAGTTTACATTTTCCGATATCCAATCCTTTTCTGAGAACACGACTAGAGTAGACTTTTAAGTAACTCTCCCTGCTTCTTGGCATCCGTTCCTTGCTCGTCTCACAGCCCTCCTTCTAAGGTGCTACACTCCCAGGTGTCTGTCTGGGCAAGCAGCACTCTGCAAGTGGCACACTCATTCATTTCTACTTTCTATTATTGTCAATACGGTTTTGACTGCCGAGTGAATATCAGGTCTCTGAATTTTGGGCCTGAGACTTGTTAACAGTGCATGGATGCCTCACAGGCACCTTCGGTTTAACACACCCAAAGCGGGACTCCTGTTAGAGGCAGCGGAAAGGCTGGCATCCGACGGCAGAAATCCCACAGTGCTGAGCTAAGGAGTCTGAGCTTGACTGTCTGGGAAAGTCAGAGGCGCACTTTCAGCAGTACTTCCTATTCTTCAGAAAGCTCAATCTGGCAGCAAAGTAATAAATGAGAGCACAGACTAGAGACAAGAGGCCAGTGCAGCCTATTTCAGTGAAGAGGTAACCGCAAAGCAATAAAAGGGCAAATAATCCCATTTGATTTAAAAAGTACAAAAGCAAATTCTGTAACCAAAACATGTACTCCTGTAATATTCCGAAATTAAAAAGTATATAAGAAAATATAGCTTTTAAATAAACAATGCTAGTTTTCATCTAACAAACGGATGAAAGATCAGAAGAGATATTTCTCTAAGGAAGATATACAAACGGCCAGTAAGCCATGGAAAGATGTTCAACATCATTAGTTATTAGGGAGATACAAATCAAACAATCTTCCCA